ACAGACCAGCAGAGAAATGGTCAAAGTAATTGTACCACAGCACTGGGCGAAGGGAAACTCCAGAAAGAACACCTACACCAAGTTTAATGAGCTACTTATACAAGCATTAATGCACAATTCCTGTTAGATATAGGTACAAACGGCGGTGAAGGTCTTAGTGAGCTCGAAATGTGGATCAGCCGCTGTGTCCAGCATCTAATGGATTTCAACCGAGCCTGTGCTGCCATAAAGGTCTCGGGGTAAAGCCGAGGCATTTCCTGAAAGTTGTGCCACAGCCTAGAAAACAGCGTAACCTGAGCCCGACTTGTAGCTTTTCCTATCACCACAGTCCATACCTGCACGATGTCCTGTCCCTCCGTGTCCGCAGGTAAATGGCTTGTTTGTCTTCTGCCTCCTGATTGAAATATTCAACAGATTGGATCGTTATTCTGAAGCGAGGAAGCAGAATCAAGTTAACATTGTTTAAACTCACTCGGAAGTTGTTGTGTTTGTGCTATAAAAATAAAAAGGCATGTGGACATTTAAAGTCCAACATGTCAAAAAATAGCCAGAACATTCTTTTTTTTTTGGAACTGAGATGTTTATTAAACCTTTTAACAAAATCCAAAATATAATTCACGATTCGAAATTCAAGGTTAAGTTACCTGATGCCTCTAGTGCACAACCTTTCACCAACAGGCCTCCTGTACTTTTTCTTAACAAGTGAACACCTTTATGATTTTTGAAGCAGCTATAATCGCCAGACACAAACATGGATTGTTATGCTATAAACGAACTACACCAGGGTCCCACAGCTTCCAACTTATAATTTGATTTAGCGAATTTACCTCTACTACAAAAAGCCTTTCCTCTTAGCATGACCTGATCTGTGCGATGCATGGATCAGAGGCCATAGTGCACTGACAGATCCAAAATATTTGAACGTGAAATCAGAAAACACACACACCTGGGAACTGACAACAATCCTGATGAAACATGCATCAAAGCCCAGTGTTGGCTACATGGCCACTCTGGGCCTTTACATAGAAACAGAACTGACTGAAGATGAAGATTTGCTGATATCAGCTGGTCTCAGTGCTGCCAGCACACACACACCAAGAGAGGAAGAAGAATAGGCATATGTACATAATCTGGGTGAAATTCATAACAATACATTATTGTAAAATGGAATGGTCTAAGTCGTGATATTAAAATTGAAGGTGTGATTGATTCACAGCTCGACTCGAACTATGCGCGCTCCGATACAGAATTGAGTCCAGACCCTGTTTACAAAGGAAACCCAGATGATCCAGACTGGAGAACTATGGTGTAATCTCCAGGAGGGGCAAACATCAGATGCAGCCGCAATCCTGTGCGCACCGTGCGTACATTGTTTAATGAAGTATTTCGCCACTGGCGCTCAATGTACGATCAACATAGAGAGGAATATAGTTTAACATTTACAGCCCGATGGACTTTTTAATATGATATCGTATGGCACCGAGTGGATCACATCATTTCTAACATGCGCCCTGCACAGCTTGGAGTGAGTGCGCACACACGGACTTGACCTGCTGTCTATTATACCTGTAACATCATCTGGACATGTACAGGGTATTTTTATTTATCATGACTCATGAGCTGCATTCATGTGTTATTTTGTGGACTAAGTATTATGTTTAAGTGTCAGATCGATTCTCAAGGCCCGGCTGGCGCAGAATGAGGCAGAATGGGGGGGGGGGATTTTCCGTGCTAGAAACTTTTCAGGTAAGGGGATACATTAAAACTAGGTTACCCAATTTGGTTCCTTACTTATGATATTGTTTAGTTGTAAAATAGGCTACATCCTCCTATGTCTGTTGTTAAAATTCACAAGAAGTGCCCCACAACATGTTACTTCATGTAGCCTATTTTTTGGGGATGGTAACTTTATGGCTGTAGCTGCCACTCCTAGTTGGTACAGAGAAATAACCATCTGTTTGATTCCTCACACACCAATCACACAAACTGATTGTTGATTGACAGGTCATTCCTGTTGCCAGCTTACATTTCATTCTGAGATAAAGTCACCTCTCCATTTCTTTGGGCACATCTAAGTCACTGTTATTTTTTGCATTTATTCTGATATGCTACCTTTTAACTTGTTCAACCTGTTTTCCACAGGGTAAGATTCCTGTACACTATGTCTGGTAAGCAGCCAGTGTATCCACAGAGGGGCAGTGTTTCCTTTTCTAGCCATGTAGAAAATAGCAGACAGTATGTCACTGAGGAGATCACACATGTGGTTGCTAACACTTTCTGAAAACGTATTATGGGAACACTTCCTTTTAGAAAGCATTACACTGAAGCTAAGAGAATTTCATTTGTTCAGAGTCCCAGGAACCCCTTACTGTTTTGTAACACTGCACTGTCCCATATTTGATATGAATAAATTCCTTTGTGAGAAACAGATTAAATATAAATGTATTTAGGTACATATTTATGTAGGCACAATGTGAGCTGAAATACATAGCAATTTAAAATAAACTTTTCATAAAGGGGGCCTTTACAGAATGAAACCCTGGGACCTGCCTGGTTTTTGGCCCTCAGTTTATAACCGGCTGTAGTGGTGCAAATTCCCTTACAGTTTTTTAGCTAGTGAAGCAAACATAAACTAATTGCCACACGGTAACCCCAACGACTTTGGCTCTGGGCTCCACAGCACTTTACCTTATTGTCCAGTGGGGACTTCACCTTACACAACATAATCTCTGGATTCAGCTGTAATGACCTCCTTCTTGTCCTCATGTAAAGCTGTTATACAGAAAATCATAATCACAGTTTGAACAAATTACATTAAACTGATGGATTGATTCATTATGGAAGGTGTATGTGTGTTGAACTACAAAAAAGTTCAGTGGCATTTCATGAGGTTTCATTACCCTCTAATGAAAGGCACCTCTTCCCCTGGGAGTGTTTGAACTAATATGATGTTTCGTGGGACAGTGCTGTGTAGCTTTTAGGTGACTACTTAGAGAGTGATTTTTTCTCCACCTTTAATCAGGGCGTTCTTTAGCAGGAAAGAAATACAACCTTTTATATTCTTTACTCATTTATACAACCTTTCTGATATATTCACATTCTCCAATGTGCTTCTAAAAGTGGAGAATTAGCTCATCATTTCAGTTCTTAGCTGGGTAATCTCAGTCCATGGAGCTGAATTGGAACCTAGTGCACACTTGACATTTTACTTTTCAACCCTCTGAATGAAAAGGATAACATGTCACAGAGTTGCAGTCCCTAAAGCACCACCATCTTCTAGCCTAATTGGTTTGCATGGCTCAGGCAGATATCGAGGTGGTATTTTGCCAGGGAATTCCCTCAGCTCCTGGACGATGAGCCCAGTGTGCCTTCGTTTATCAGCATCTGCCTGCTTTTGCTGAGTAGTTGGTTTTGTCCTTCGCACAATATATCACCTGTCACACCTAATGGGACCCAGTATAGGGTACACATGGCTCCAGCAGATCCCTTGGGTTCATCTTTGTTTCCATTTCCACCATTTCCATAGTTAACTCCTCCAACAGCTGTAGCCCTCCAACCTCTGCCATGTTGGAGAGCTCTCTTTGTGCTGATACAAAAACTAATGCAGGCTTTTTGCAGTAAACTGTACAGAAGTCCCATTTAAGCACTGTTGGCACAGGTGCATTTATATAACCATAAATGCACCTGTGCACAATGAAAATTGGGACTTTGTTGATAAAAAAAAATACATAAAAAGTGATTGTAAGTATTTGCCTGAGTGTCCCTCAAAGATTTTTAATGGATAGTAGCACAAATGGTGACCCAAAAAAAAACAAACACAAATCTTTCTGTTGACTGAGGAAAGATGCTGCATGATGAATTGTTTGTGTTGTGTGGTTAATTTATGGCTGCCTTATTTAAATACAGTGGGTCATAAATATATAAGTTAGGGCTGCAACAATATTTTTAGTGCTGATTAATTAGTCAAATAGTCAAATGTTTGGTTTGGTCAAATATTTTGGTTTATAATATGTCAGTCATAACTGCTAATCACAGCTTCCTAAAGGCCATTTTTGTCTGATTAACAGTCCAAAACAAAGATGTTCCATTTACAAGCACAGGAAACAGAGAAAAGCATAAAAACATCACATTAAATAAGGTGGAGAAGAGTTTGGATTTTTTTTCTTGAAAAATTACAGTTAGTTTTCTAGTGATTGACTAACTGAGAAGTCTTTAGCTCTATTAGAGAAATGGTTTGACTGTGGAAAAACTCAGAACCGTCAGTAAATGTTTGTAGCATATCAGCTTTTGTCTATAGTAATTACTACTGTTGCAAGCCCATAATTGCTTTATCTAAGAACAAAACCGCTGGTTGTGTAGTAGACCGTGATATTTGACACCTGTATTCTATAAAAACTATTTGTTATGAATTTTCTGGGTGAAAGGAATTTCACATGAAAGTTTTATAATTAGAGACCTTGGATACAAACTTGCATCAGATGTTTCTGCATTTCTGAATGCAGACAAGTAGCCCTTGTAATTCTATGAAAGAAACTGTGTAATCACATTTGAAGCTTTAAAACCATTTCAGAGGATGGCTAATAAAGTAATACAACTTTGGCCTGGGGTTAAACCAAGCAACTATCCTTAAAAAGAAAGCTAAGCAGTTAATTTACCTCAGAGAGAATGGTCAAATAAAAATGGATGTCAATTAAATGATTAAAGTGTGAAATATATTTTGGTCTAAGGCTCGACTGTAACAGCTGGCTTTTTTAAGTAGCTAAAATTTAATGCACTCATCTCTTCTGGCCGGAAGGTGTTGCTGCTTACAAAAACACAAAAGTATCAAGACAGATTTAATAACAGACGCTTCCTAATTGTACCTTTCAAAGTAAAAATTGTGTTTGCTACTACACTTTAATTGTTATTTATTCTAAATTTTATTCTGTATTGTTCTTTTATTTTTTGCAATGATGTATAGATAACCCTAGTTTTTTTGATAAAAATATTAAGATTGTACTTTTTTTAAATACCGAAACGGATGCATTCAATTGAAGCTAATGTCGTGTTTTTCCGGTGTTGTTGCGTATACTTTGCGCACTTGACGCAACTGTAAGCGAAGTTCATTTTCCACAGCTGGTGATGGCGGATGTTGAAGAAGACATTATGACGAGTAGCATTGACATAGCATCTGAGGACATCAACCCAGAGACTAGTCGCTACCCTTATTGTATTGTGTGGACACCCATCCCCGTGTTATCGTGAGTTTTCGTCGCTAGTGTGTCAGAACCTCGGACACCGGACGAAGCGACAGCTTTAGCTTAGCTAGCTAATAACATCTTGTGGCTGAGCTTTGTTCAAGATGCGTCCTAGTAAAGTATCATTGCTGTTAGTAAGAGTCAGAATGGCGAATAGGAATTTGGACAGTTGACATTATATGAGTATTTTCTGAAATGGTTAATTCTGTGCATATACGAGTAGGCAGAATGGGAAAGCCTGTTAACAGAGTCCGTGTTTAACACCAAGTAAACAAAACAAAACAGCTGAGAAGTTGCAGGCAGAAGCTGATTATGACTAAGTGCTAATTATTACCATTTTACAGTCACTCTGTGCTTATAAGACCGAAATACTCTTGTTCAAAGATGCATTTTGTATGTGTTTAAATTCAAATTTATTGCGGAATTTTAACTCGCCAAGTGTCAAAATCATGGTAGTTTTATTTAGGTTGACTTTTACCTGATACAGCGGCTCTCGAAATGTGTCTCTGTGCCAGAAAGTATATAGACCCAGAACTCATGTATTCTACTTATTAGCCATTATCTCAGTGTGACAAATAAGAATCTACATTTATGTTGTAACCTTAACATGTTCCTCTTTTTGTTCAGATGGTTACTTCCATTGGTTGGCCACATGGGAATCTGTACTTCCAGTGGTGTCATCCGTGACTTTGCTGGTCCTTACTTTGTCTCAGTAAGGACTGTGACACGGCACACTTTGATGTTGAGATTGTTTTGTAGGCCTGTATTGTAATTTTACTGCATGTGAAAGAATATAGAGCAGAATTGATTTTATCATCATCATCATCATCATCATCAACTTTATTTATATAGCACGTTTAACACAGCTGAAACTGACCAAAGTGCTTAACACAATATCACTAAAACCCATTAAAACACAATAAAACAAGCAGAACCAATAAACACAACAATAAAACAGGATCCCACTAAAACAACCACCCATCATGAAACAAAAAAGGCTCAACAAGACAGAGTCTCATACTGGGTCGAACGCCAAACAGTACAGATGAGTCTTCAAATAAGTTTTAAAAGTGACAACGAGGGGGCCTGCCTAATGTAAAGGGGCAATGCATTGCACAACTTAGGAGCCCCCACAGAGAAGGCTCTGTTCCCCCTAAGTCTCCGCCTAGCCCTCGGTGTCTCCAAGAGCAGCTGATCAGCTGATCTGAGGCACCGAGAGGAGCTATAGGGATGCAGCAATTCTGTGAGATAAAGGGGGGCCAGACCATTTAAAGACTTAAAAACAAATAAAAGAATCTTAAAATGAATTCTAAAACACACCAGCAGCCAATGTAGAGAAGCCAAAATGGGTGTGATATGGTCCCTTTTCCGCCCTCCAACCAGTAGATGAACAGCAGCATTTTGGACTCTCTGAAGGCGGGCAAGGGCGACCTGACTGAGCCCAAAATATAACGCATTACAATAATCCAGACGAGATGTAATGAATGCATATATTACTGATTCGAAATGCTGCCGCGAAAGAAAAGGCTTTACCTTTGCCAGCTGCCGGAGATGATCAAAACTGGCCCGTACAACCACATTCACCTGATGTTCCATTCTAAGATGCTAAAGTTTTAGATAATAATGAGGTTTTATATTTAACACTGGAAGTTGGTTGAGTCCTACTGCATTGTCTTCTCTTCTGTCCATCTCGTCCATTCAGTGTCCATGTACATTCCAGCCACTCACAGGTCTGCTACAGTTTGGCTAAATATGAAAATCTACTAATGCAATGTAATACACGTGATTTAGGCTTACATTAATACTGCCAAATCTGAATCACCACTTTGGACCTATTGACGGGGTTTGCATTTAATATTAGTGTATCAAAAGGGGGAACATACAATGAAACTAGATGACCTAAAGAAACACGAGTACAGAAATGATCCTTCATAACTGCTTTGAAATAATACCTAGAATAAAACTTTTTTTTTTTTAATGTATATATACAGGAAGACAACATGGCTTTTGGAAGACCGACAAAGTAAGTAAATAAAAATCTATGGAGCGTTGTATAACACTGTTACACTGATTTAGTTTTTCTGCTTTGCAGTGAACATGTTGCTCCAAAGACAAACTGAGACACAAGCCTATTTTCTTATAACTGTACTACACAACAATACAGTTAGTTTTTCTCTTTAACTACAGGTACTGGATGCTTGATGTTAGCAAAGTCTACGCTAGTGGCTCCAATGCCTGGGACAAAGCAGTACATGAAGCTTCAGAGGAGTATAAGCACCGGATGGTAAATTGTGGACATGTCTTTTATTGAGCGTGTAGAAGTGAAAACACCAGTAATGATTTGTAATTATCTTGTTTTTTGCAAAGCACAACCTCTGCTGTGACAACTGTCACTCGCATGTTGCCATGGCTCTGAATCTGATGCGCTATGAAAACAGCACCTCGTGGAACATGGTCAACCTGTGCCTCCTCGCTCTGATTCATGGAAAGCATGTCAGGTAAGAAGGGCTAATGGATCTGGAATGCTTGTTGTGTAGACCCACAGTAGATGGAGTACTGAAGCTACTGTCCTGCTGACGTGCTGCTCTGTGTGCCACCTATGGAGACATGGTCTCAGATTTGGGACTCCCTTGGAGTAGACATTTTTCAATATAGAAACACGATCACAGTTCGGTCTGTGTGCTGCAGTCCCACAGAACGTACAGTCCGGTCATAATGTAAAACATAAAGACACTGATATGGTTTTTCTCTGTTATGGCTCAACTTGTTATGCCTTAAACCTCTTGCGTTCCAGGACACAGGAGAGAGAGCCCTGTTTATTGAAAAGTATTAACAGTATATACAGGACATTTCTCCAGAAGGCCCTTTACAGTTACAGGCACGCATCCATGTGACTCCGGAGATTGTTGAAAGCGTATAGAGTTGATTGTAGAACACAAAAGGAAACATCTACTATTCACTGCCATGCATTCACATGACAAAAACATTTAAAAGGTAGTGTAAACAGCTGTTGTGAAATCAACTGCACAAACAGGCTCAGTAGGAATCAGACTGAAGTTTCTCCACACTACCTGAGATTAAAGAAAAGCAGCATGTAAATATACTTTTTAAGGGTTGGGCAACATGACCTAATTGACCATGCAAGGTTATGAGTGAATGACATGTGCCTCACAAATCTGTCTTTAAGACTGAGCCAGGTATCTGTATGGTACAGTTTAATGTAACATTTCCTTTGCAGTGTCAGACTCCATATATGCACAGTTTCTTTCCACATTTGAATGGAATCATTCCATGTCTGATATCTTTTGTCAACTTTGTAAAGATGCTTGTTTGCTTTCCCTCCAGTGTCACAACTCTGTCTCTCAGCAGGGGTGATGGAGGTATAACATGAAGTCATATCAGTACATACCATACTGAGACCTGTTTCTGTTTTTGCCCATGTCTTCACCTCTGTACTGGCTGTCCTCTCTCTCTGCGGGTGCACCACCTGATACAGCTGTGCAGGCTTTCTGAAGACTTGGTTGCCTTTCCTGGTGCTGATGGGCATCATCCTCACAGTGGCCCTGGCTTTCAACCTCTAGTGAAGTGGGCGGCAGGTTAAGGATACAGTGGAATCCCTGCAGGTTGGATGTGGCCTTTTCTTAAACAAGTGGAACATCACATCACATGGCGATGAGGGAAAGCAACCGAGGACATAAAGATAACTCACCTTCAAGACGGCGTTGAAGAGGAGTGTCCGACACTGGAACACAGGCAGCCCGGTACTGACGTGACTCCGGTGGAGGAGCTGGAATACCCTGAAAATTCACTAGTATTCAGTTACTTTGACAGAAGGGCATGAACACCACCCACCACCACAACTACCTGGACCACAAAAACATACTTAATGGATTATGATTATTGAAAGCCTGACAGCAGATTTAAGCCATCACCACCTGCAAAGTGTAGACCTTATGTAACCGCTCTCTGTGGAGAAATGTCCCTGCCTTGTTCTCAGAGTTTGCTCTTCTTTTCTAACGGACTGGGTGTGTAATCTGATAATTCAGTGCTTCCACAATGCTGTTTCCTACTGGGGAGCACAAACATGTTAAATCAGTGAGATGCCTTCCTAGCCTTTTTATTGCATTTCATGCTTGATCTAATGTAGCTGCAGGTTGAATATGCCAGAGCAGTTTGTATTTCAGGATATCAGAAACTCTGCCTCATGTAAAAAGACATTTTTTCTGACGTGTCGTACCTGCATTCCATGTATCAACTCATGAGGTTTACAGTGTTTCTACACCTTTAACTACAGATCGTTGTAGCAGCTCCAGTGAACATGGCTCCTTGAGAAACCAACAGAGTAGTACAGCTCCTTGTGCCAAATATAGGAAGCTGAAGCTGTGGCCTCGAATGTGGAACCTCTTCTTCTCAGAACAGTGCACTGATGAATGAAAAGCCTGTTGGAGTCAGACTTATTAATCCTGGTCTGATTAACTAGCTCATCCTGAGAAATGCTTTGTTAGTCATAGCTCATTTTGACTTTATGGGAAGAACCAAGAGTCAGCACCTAAAAATGACCCCTGTCGCTGGTCCCTTGTGTACTGTGTTTTCATTTTTGTATGCGTTTTTATTTTTACCTGCTTTCCAAAATTCCACATGACAGCTAGCACTTGAAATTGGTTGCCATGGCTTTTGTGAGTAGATTTAAATCCCCTCATTGTTTGCAATCACACAGAAAAAGTGCTGAGCCCTCTCTTTGTCCACGGTGCTGCCAGAAGCAGCAGGTAGCCAGGATCCTCAGGTTTTTCACTCTTAGTAAACCCCTGCTGAAAAGTCCTCATTTCCCCCAGTGCTGCTCCTGCTGTTTTCCACCTCTGCAGATCAGATTGGATGGTCATTGTGAAATGTCAACACTGTTTCACAAAGCTTTGATATACCAGCCAACATCCTCCAGTAGTCCAAAGCAGATGTCATTCAGGTGTGAATTTATAAATGAAAATCACTTTGTTTCTCTGTGATTAAGGGTTTAATGCTAGGTAGGGCTAACCCTGTCAGTTTTCTAGACTTCCCGTGGGGTTCTGTTGAAATCAGATACTCTGTGACCTCATGTATGTTTCACCCATGTTGCCTGAAAATATTTGAACGCACATTATACTGTCCATCTGGTGCTCTTTATAGACTTTTTGAACTTGATCGCGCGATCTTCAGGTTTGTACTCTGAATAATTTACACTATTTGCTTTAAACCACTTCTGCTTTCCAGTGAAGGAAATCGCCCGGATAACTGTGTGATTATGTGTTGGTCATGCACGCGGTGATTAGAGCGCATGTGATTGCATTCATGGAGGAACAGGAGTGGCTCACGGTCGACTTATTATGATCTCTAATCAGCTGCGCGTTATGGCAGCCAACTGCTCAGTGACTGATGTCTATAGTTTATTTTCCATATCTTTCTCTTCATCTCTTTCGAGTGTTATGTGATTCCTGGTAAACCATAAGAATAAGTTGGACCATAAAAGGCCTGTGTAAGTAAATGTTGATTCAGTGCAAAGTCTGCACTGTGTGTAGCTCCAGATTCTGTAGAACAGCAGATTCATGTTCTCAAAGCATTAAAACAAAGAAAGACATGGAGAATCTCACCTCAGTTTGAAAATTGGAAGGTCTCTATATAAATACAGTATGAGAATATTTTAGATGCTTTTACTTTTACACCTCATGCCTATTCTTTCTTTTTAAACCATGTCATTAGTGCTAAGAAGTAATCAGCCTAAATCCACATTCATTAACGTCAATTATTGGGGAAAACCTCCACTGTGCATGTGTTTAAAGAAAGCAGTCTGGAAATAAAGGGCGACATTTTATATCTGTCCAAATTTGTACTGAATACACCTGTAGAAACAAACAAAAGTTAAAATCCCCTTGCTTGTCTGCAGTTCTGCTATATCTCCCCCCTAAAATTGAGGATGAGCTGTGTTCTTGAATATGTGGCTTGTTATTTAGTGAAACAGATCGTTACATTTTGAGCTATGAGAAGGAATCAATGAATAGCCCTTTGCGATCACAACAATGGCATTTACTGTATCTGACATACAAATATGTAGAAGTATATATGTTTATTTAAGAGATCGAGGTTGTGCATAGTGCCCTTTCTTTATTGAAGTGCATGTGCAAGAATGCCATATTCAGTAGGGATCAGTTGAATGGTTTTAGATGTTGCCTGCTGTGGTGCCTTGTATCCAAGAGTCAGGTCCAGGAATGTGGAGACTGTGGTCTCTGCGATTCAGTCCACTTGACAAAAGACTGTCGGGATGCTGTTATTAGTGCCACTATTTGCTTACACCAGTCTGCAATTTCCAAACCCTCTTTTGTTTCTCTGATTCCTTAGGTATCTTTTATACTGTGCATCATAATAACCCACTGGAAGTTTTAAGACTCCTGCAAGTGACTGTGAGCTCTGAATGTATTTATGACTTATAGCTATAGTCGCAATAAAGTTTATTATTGTAGAAATTTGTGGGATTTTATTTCCATCACTGAACTGTGACACCTGTGTTTATCAAGGCTGTCTGCTCTCAAGGCTCTGAGTCATGACAGAATGTCCCCTCCTCCTCCTCCTGCTCAAACTTCTAGAAATTCACTCAGAAGTGATTCCAGTTGTCATCATGAAAAGCTGTCAGAATATACATCAAGGAAGAGAAGCCAGGACAGCTTTGATGCTGTACTCTAAAGTGGCTAACAGCCCTGCTGAGTGGCCATTATCATGCAGAGCATCATGGTATTCAAAAAAGAAGAGGGATCAAAGGCTTCTGCTGTCTGACCCTACCACCTGGGTAGGTGGGTAAGAGCAGGGGCAATAAATTCACACCAGTACTGAAGTTATGGCAATCGTTTAATGCAATAGCAATTTGCATGCCCCTAGGCTTTAAACCCAAACTAAGACACCGACTTATGTCTGACAAGATGCCACGTACAGCGAAATCATGTGTGATTAGACTTTGGTCATGTTTATTCTTTATTTTAAGATGTAAATGTAACCTGAGGGGAAGTGATGACAACACTGGCCAAATCTATTGGCAGAATAAAATGAATTGGAAAAATCCTGGATTTAAAAAGCGAGCGCCACTTTCTCCTCCTCATCCATCCCCCTGTTTCTACTCGGAGCTGAGAGGAAGATCTCGTAGATCTGGACAGGGTGCGAGCAGGAGAAGCCCCTCCCCGCAGATCATTGCACTACTCGATGGTCCTTTAAATTTCATTGTTGGAGAAGAAGCGACGCCCCAGCACGACACCCGACTTTTGTTCTCATGGAAATCAGACCCTGCCTCCCGGCCACACTTTCTGCAGAGATGCAAAGTTGAAGCGCATTCCCAGCCGGGTCACCACATGGTAGCGATGTGTTGGAGGAGCTGATCGTTTCGTCTCCTCTGTTTGTCTGTGTTTCTTTTCCAGTTTTTGTTTGCACCGCGCTCTAAACTTTCCGACATGCTGGATTTGGCGCAGCGCGTTGTTTTGTGCACGCTCCTCGTCTCTGTTTACGCATCGTGTCCTCCGCGCTGCGAGTGCTCAGAGGCGGCTCACACCGTGAAGTGCGTCTCCAAAGACCTGCGGAGTGTCCCGACGGGGATACCAGGATACACCAGGAATCTGTTCATAACTGGGAATCAAATCAGTCGAATCGGTCCGGAGTCGTTCAAAGGACTCGATAATGTGACCAACCTGTCTCTAAGTAATAACAGGTGAGGCTTCCCTGGACACTCTTGATCCTTGTTATTATTATTTTAATGTAAAGCAAACATATTGTGAGGACGCCAAGAAAAGCATTCCTTTAATATAAAGTAACTAATTGTCTCAAAGGCAAAGTAGTGTTTCAGTCATTTGTTTCTTAAATATAGCAGTTAAACAGATTTGATTCTTTCTGTTACATGAAATAGGGCTTTAAGGTGAATTAAAATGAATAATTAAGTGATGTTTCTTGTCCCTAAATCCAGAATTTCTGAGGTAGAGTCCCACACCTTTGCTGGACTCCGCAGCCTTCGCTCTCTGGATCTGAGTAACAATCAGTTGGCAGTTATTCACCCCGAGGCCTTCACCGTGCTGAACCAGTCTCTGCGGGAGCTCAACCTGAGCCGAGCCCTCTACAACCACTCGTCAGTGATGGACTTGGCCACGTCTCTCCGCTGGAGCTCCCTGGGGACCCTGCAGGGACTGGACCTGTCTGACAACAGCCTCATCTATTTTCCCTCCCATATCTTCTCCCACCTGAGCAACCTCCGGCGGCTCCAGCTGTCCAACAACTCCCTGGTGGCCATTAACAACTCCACCTTCTCAGGTCTGGAGCACCTGGAGGAGCTTGACCTGACCCTCAACGCTCTCAAGACGTTGCCTGAGGAGGGCCTGCGAGAGTTGGACTCCCTGCCCAGAGCTGTACTTCTGCTGGGGGACAACCCGTTCACATGCATATGTGGAATCGAACCTTTTGCTCTGTGGCTCAACAGATCACAGGGTCGCATTCGAGATGCCGAGGGCCTTGTGTGCGCCTTCCCAGCCAGCATGAGAAACACATCCATGCTCGTTGTGGGCACGCTGACTCTGGGATGTCAGCAGAGGGATGCAGGGGGAGACCTTACTTTGCAGACCTCTTATGTCTTCTTGGGTATAGTCCTGGGATTCATAGGCCTCATCTTCCTCTTTGTACTTTATCTCAACCGCAAGGGCATCAAGAAGCGGATCTACGACATGCGGGATGCCTGCAGGGAGGTGTGGGAAGGCTACCACTATCGCTTTGAGATCGACTCTGACCCCAGGTTATCACAGGTCTCCACGAGTGTTGATGCGTGAGAGGACAGTGACCTCTGGTGCATTCTCTTAGGACTCTTTTCTATTGCTTTAATCAGTAGAAAAATGTAAAAACTGTACAGATCTGTCTGTAAATATACAGATATTAACAATCCTTCAGCCATTCCCACTCATACACCCAATATGCTCTCTTAAACAGAAGACCAAGAACTTCTTTGCTCTCTTGAGTCAGTTTGACATTTCTTATATCGTTGCCTGCTATTTATGTCTTTACAAAAGCAACAGTAAGTGCCTAACGTCAGCATTGTTTCTTTTTCTACAGGGCACACGTTCAGATGTTGTCCTCATATTTAGCATGTTATAAATTGCAACAATAACAATAACTACAAAAGCAATCCTCTAAGAAATTAACGCATAAATCACCCTTTCTCTTTGAACCATTTCAAGCCCCTTGGTCTGTCCGTTCTTCAACCCCAGGGTGCCACAGTGAAATTAAGCCTCCTAAAGCCTTACCAAGGCTCTCCTTAAAACCACCACTCTGTTCCTCTTTGGTTATCGGATTAGAAGGGGGAACAATTCGATGCGGACCAGCGGAAATCTCCTAGCTCTCTCTTTTTTTTCATGAAACGTTGCTTTGTTTCAACTCCTTGAGTTTTATTGTCACAATGATGAGAACCAGTCCCGAGCTGAGGCCGCTGAAAGCAATCCCCCTCCCTCCTTAAAGACAACAGCCCCTCTGGAAGCTCTTTGAAAGAAAAGTCTGGCTCTCCACATTTTTCTGTTTAGGGATTTTTCCCCCCACTGATAAGATACAGATGATTCTAAAACACCAGCTATATTGTTTCATTCAGCAGTTTGCTCTGACCAGATCCTTATGAAAAGAGAGAGGAATATTGTTTCTCTACTACTTTCCTTTTACAGTGGGGTCTTTTAGTGGAAGTTCATCTCTAGAATCAATTGAAATCCATGTCAAAAATGTGTTTCTTAGCCAAACCATTACATTTGAGACACACATTTAAACTGAATCCAAAATATCACCTCATTGTGAAAGAATCCCAAGCAAAACATGATTGTCCTCTTTTAGCTTGAGTGTCGCATGTCGCCCCTGTTTTTTAAATGACTACATGACAAAAGCAATTTTCTTGGCCTTGCTGTGTCGCTGCAAAGTGAGACAAACACACTGAGGGGGGATGCCATTGCTCAGAGTGTTTATTGCCCAAATTGCTAGTGAAACGGGGAAAAGGGGCCCTGGAGTCAACTGAAGCCAAAGTCAAGAAGTTCCCCGCGCTCCTCTGATAGTGATCCACAAGTGTTTGTAACACAGAGCCATTTACCGCATGTGGAATGACAAAATAAAGCCTGAGGAAGTCATGATATTTGTGTACTCATTACCACAAATGTCATCTTTTGTGCCATAGAAACTTCAGAAATGAATGTATTGGTAATGTTGGATTAAACCAAGAAACATATTAAGCCAGACATTTACTCGCAGAGGAGAAAACAATTGAGGCTCATGCCGACCCAAAGGAGAGACGTCCCAAATAAGCTTTGTTTTCCAGCACAAAAAGATGCCTTGTGATGCTCATCCGCTTTCTGCTTCCACAGACGACCATTATGCCACTGCGTAATAGGATTCTCTCATGATGACACAGTTGGGCGCTCTGATCCAGCTATTGGTAAAGTGTCATCATTCTTAATAATTGCCTGTGGGAGAAAATCCCAGAAAAAGTTTTTTCATTTGCTGTTACACAACATGTCACAACCAGGGCATTAAGCTGGCCACGGATCATCGGTGTCACCTGGCAGAGCAGAAAGAAGACAGATCATTTCCTGCATGTCATTACTTCCATTTTCACTCATTAAAGTGTGAATTAGGAGCTGTGCCTTTTTCTTTATTTTGGGGGGGGGGGGGGTCTTTTATGAGCCTGGCTGTCTAAAAAAATATATGGTCTGTTTGCTCTAGGCTGTGCAAGACTGTCTCAGCAGAATACAATGAAAAGAGAGGATGCCTACAAATACACCCAGACGTTCTACATTACTCCCTGTGTAAAAGAGAGGCTTGTTAAAAACTGAAAAATTGCTCCACTTACAATGTTCTTTCAAACTGTTTGTTGCACATATCTGATTAAAAGATCATGCCTTTATTTCAGCCTCATCTTCTATTCGAACAAGCCACTGAGGTTTCTTTCCAGGAAGAAGTTTTAAAAACCTTAACAGCTTTTTGTTGCCGTATTCTGTGTAGTAGGTGGTTGTTTGCAAAATACATTTAAAGTATTTCTTTTTGGCACAGCTGGCTTTTTACGATATTTTATTCACCCCCTGTCACTGGGAACACTGTGGTGCTATTCCATGGGTTTAATGGTCATGACGGGGAATATGCCTTAAAAGTGAACAGCACATCTGTGAGGAGTTGAGCATGTTAACAAGAGACTGCAGCAGTCAGCAGCATGACAGAGACACCCAATCCCCTGCCATGGGACAACAAATGCAGCTGTCTCTCTGTCTCTCTCAGCCGAGGACAGAGTAGTGAAAGTCTGGTCTCCGTTTTCTTCCCTCTCCTTTTAGCGATGAACTATGCCACCCATCCTTTAAGTCCAACCGTCCTGGACAGTGAAGGTGCAAATGAACCAGAGAAGTGGTTCCAGTGGGGTCTTACCCATTGTTCTGCTGTTCACTTGATCAATGTGTCAGAATGCGAGCGAGGAGCTGCTACATCAGACTCAACTGGCCATTAGAGCCAAATGGCCTCCCATTGATCACTTTCATAAAGGCTGGAGCTAACACACACACACACACACACTGTATTCAGATTGCCATCTTTCTGACATCTCTCTAACAATCCATTTGAAATGCAGTACTTCATGTACTTATTTGGTCAATACTGTAATTACCAAAAGGAAGAAATTTCACTTCTATTTGTTTGTTTGTTGCTGTAATACATTTGATTTATATAATACCTGTGTGGGCAGACGTTGAAAATAGTTCATAATTTGCTTCAGTTCCAACAGAAAACATGGACTTTCAACCCACTGCAGTAACATCTCAGCCACTGTTTACACCCATTTGTCTTTTCAGCACATTGTACATTACATTGTGACTCCATATGTTATTTGCTTTAGCTGGAACCATGACACGGACAGCTACGCCAACAGCTCACTGCTAACATGGGGGCCAGGGCAGCTGTGGATTAGGCGATAGAGCGGGTTGTCTCCTGACTGGAAGGTTGGCTGCTCGATTCCCAGCTTCTCCAGTTCACACGTTGAAGTGTCCTTGAGCAAGACACCGAATCCCCAGTTGCTCCCGGTGATGTCACCGGTGTGTGAATGTGTGAGTGCTTGGGTTTAGGGTTGGAATTAAGAGTGGATTTAACCCAACCTCTGGTAAAAGTTGACAATTTCCCATTTAGGTTGACAATGCACAGATCTTGGTCTCAATCTGCCATCTTGTCTGGAGCCATGGGAGACCCCACACAGAGGGACTGTATCCTCTTTTGAAAAATGAAACAATCTCAAAAGCTTTGTCATTGTACTTCATATTTCCTTACACAAAAAGCGAGAAGGATTAAAGTTTCAGTTTGACTTCGATAGCACTCACATCGCAAATGGATTTGATGTGCTTTAATGTGCAATCTATCAGTCGAGCATGTTCAGCACAGAGTTTGTACAAGAAGTATGTGTCCACATATCCATAACAGGATACTTTATGCTCTTGAAATTTAAACAAAAACCTCTTGGTGCATGGCCTCACACCAGTGGAAAATGAGAAACAAATGCTCGCAACAAAGTCCTGTCTCGTATGAAAGACAGGCTCATGTTAACCACTCTACCGCAACAACGCAGCTTCCCTCTGAAGTCTTCATGACTCCATCTCCATTGATCTCAGAGATGATGTAAAGTGGAGTGACAGCATGGCTCTTCCAGGCCTTTGTAGCCCCCCAACCCCAACGGCTTCCCCCTTTCTGGGCCTCTGTGCTCTGGGTAGACAGCGTCCTGAAGCTGTGCTGTAGGATCTGCTGTCCTCCAGCTGGCCGTGCATTAGTCTCTCGATCTATGTGGCCTGTCTGTAGGTTTGTTTAGTGTTTGATGTTGGTTATTTATAGCAGGACAGGGTTAGGGAGTTTTCAGTTAGAGATCCATGTTTCCCTCTGTGTTCCATCTTGTCTCAAACTGGGAAAAAGCGCATAAAGCTGTGACTAACCTCAGTGCTGAAATTTAAAGGCCAATTTCTTCTCTGCTTTACATTCTAGCAAAGATCATCAAGCTTAGCCCAGTATGAAGATGAATTGTTCCAAAGGAAGGTCATTAAACCTTCAATTGATTTGGTATACATTGTGATTCAGTGGTTTGCCTCTGGTCCTCTCACAGAACAGTGGGTTTAGGGTTTATGTAGCTGGTTACATTATAAATGGCCTTGACCCGTTTTAAAGAAAGGACAAGATACTTACTGCACTACTTCATCATCTGCCTCATGCATCAATGAGTTGGGTGGAAATTGAGCAGAGCACACAATAGTCTGGCTGGACACAGGAGTCATCTGAAGGCACTTGGGCTCACACTCCTCCTCAGTAGACCCACAGTGGTTCAGATACAACCCACAGTTTATTGCAGGCTATGAGTTTCTCCCACTTTTTAGCCCAGTTACAGTAGTGAGTATTTTATAAGAACATTAGAGCTGTACTGGCTCAAATACTTATATATTCATAGTTTTATTGATATTTTCCTATAACAATAAGTTAGTGTGAAACATTTTGCCCGTAGGATTGTGACAAACCCTCGAGCTGCTTGTGGAACGGATTGGGTGTGAACTCTCCATAGGTATTTTGTCCTCTCGCCTTCCCGGTGGGAGGAGACTTACAATATTATTACCTTCATTATTTCAAATGCTGGAGCTGATGCCGGCGCTGCTGGGGGCCCAGTGCACCCAACAGGGACCAGAGGCATCTGATTGGTCAGAAGAAGAACAGTTCAGAGGGCAAGCAGTAGATTGTTCCAGAGAGGAGACGCCATCTGCTGACTGGCTCTGTCTGACTTCACACCATCTTGCTACATTTGAAGAGACGGTGCTGCACACTTTGGATCAGGACATGCTGTTCCAGCCCTGCATGTTACACACTTCATCGTAATTTGTACACTCACACATGAACTTCTGAGCCCTCAGTTAAAGTTACAGCTGCTGTCAAGCGATTGTCTGTGAACTGAAAAGCGTTGCTCATAGTGACAAAGCTGCAGATAATTATCACTCCGCTCTGCGGCCAGCCTCAGTCAGCGTGGTTTAGGCTCTCTTCACATCACAGCCCTTAATGCTCAATTCTGTTTTTTGTGTTGATAGTGCACGTTCATATTTTGTATCCAGCTGTGGTGTGAACTGCCACACATGCTTAGATTTAACTGAAATCTGAGTCACATGCGAACAAGAATAACATCATCATTTGTGCAACAGTCAAATCAGGCAGTTCTTCAAAACCAGCTCAGATACAGATTCTAGTTTGAACAGAATCTTTTCCACAAATGTCCAACAAATGTGAAGCTTCCTTGTCTCACTGTTGTTGCTCTTCTCTGTGTCTGTGAGGGGCTGACACTGAATTGTGACATCTTCAGAAAGTAATGTGTAGTGTACGCAGCCTTAGAGTGTCACAGATCTCATCAGCGTTGTTCTGGGATGCAGCAGGCAGCTGTTAGACTCTGGCTGCTGCTGAACAGCCAAATGTTTTTCTCAGGAGTTAAAACAGAACTATAGGGCTCACATCATCAAATGGCCAGTACCGTGATCCCAATGGATATGAATGCTGCTCCATATTATAACATCAGCTTAAAGGGTGAAAAAATATGAATGTTTTGTGTTAAATCCCATGAAAAAAAAACCAAACCCACCACGACCTGAGTCTACTAAAAAGTCACAGATCCTTTGTCCAAAAAAAGGAATGATTTATGTTTTGGATGAAAATGAGACAGACCTCATTTATAGTTTGATTTAAGCCTGTGTCATCAGGAATATTGTTTTGCTAATTCCCATGGAGGACTTTGACTTGGGTTCTTGCTCAGATTAATGTTGATAGGCGTAATAGAAAGAATTCAGAAGGGGGGGACCATTTGTGAAAAAAAAATCAGCTGTGCTATTTCCTTTGACAGGAAACTGTGTCTTTGATCTAAGCCACCACACTCATCTGGTCATCGCATGCGAGGTGTCACGCTCTCCTACAGCAGAGAGGAGGAACTTTGCTGTTGCAGCTCTGCCTTGTTAAGGAGGCCCATGTGAATGTTGGCCACCAGAGCACCTACAACCATGAACAATAAGAGTGTAAATTGTAATGTGTGGCTCGAAGTGTACATGATGAAGGCATATACACTAGTTGGGAAAGTTGGACAGAGCGACAGTTGCATCTGTCTTGCACTGGCGTGTGGCAGCGGGGGATTGTCATAAATGAACACTACTGACCAAGCACAGTCTGTCATGGAGATTCACTGCTGCCAGACTACCAGGGAGTGAGTCCGCTACCTGCCTCAGTGTGTGTGGCAGTGTCTCCTACACTGACATTGTAAAGGGTGATTTTCATGTGGTGTGTACCACATGGTCACAGATCCGTCAGACACACACAGGAAGCTGATGACATCACACTGGTGCAAATATGACATGATGCGTTTCGCTTATCAGTGAAAGAGTTCACGTAAAGTAAGAATATGTAGCGACTGTGCTGCTGCTTTTTCGCTATGTGATTTATATGGTGCAAACAGAAGGTAGACGCACACTGATCTTGATGTATTGTTAGGGGTTGACTGCATCATTGCTGCAGCCTGGTTCTATTCAGTGTTAGGAGGAGCAGGATGCATGATTAATAACTTTAACAAGGCCTTCAAGACTGACTAACTCAGGGTCAGGCAGGGTGCAGACAGGAGAGGTCCCAGCAAGCAGCACAGGTGAGAGCTGCTAAATGTTACTGTGTGTGTCAAACGGCTCTTTGTAGCCAAATAAAGATTTATACTTGCATATAAATGAAAGATTCAAGACTGCAGGCCAGGGAAAACATGGCGGAAAAGAAGCAGAGCTGCACTCCCAAAGACAGGCCACACCCTGACAAACACCTGCAGACAATCATTTCATTAAGCAGTGATTGGATGCACGCTGCATTAAATGCTCCCCCTGTGCTTTGCATAGCTTCAGGGTGGTTGGGCTACTGTCGTGTTGGCCTGGCTGCTGTCTTGGTGCACAGAAATGGCTTGTGGAGTTTATTTGGGGTAAGTTTTGAAGCAAACACTCAATGTGTGTTTACATGCTGTTGGTCCCATTTTGTTCTGATCTTGACATCTTCTTTTCTAACCAGGATCTTGCTGGTTTGTTTGGTTCAAGCAGAGCATGTGTGCTGTTTCTGGGTTTCACAAGGTGAGTACAAAACCTGTCTTTTTTTTTTTTTTTTTTTGAGCTGCTTTGTTAGCTGTGGATTTATACTGTTTCTCCTACAGATTGGAGCTCCCAGGGAGGAAATGGCAACAGATATGTTGGCTCCTTGCAACAGGACAGTGGACTAAAAAGACTTGGTAACAGCGATTCCCAGAATCAATTCAGACAGGCCTCTGTTTATACAGGTTCTGCTCAGAGCAGTGGCTTCAGTGCAGAAACTGGAGCCAACAGTGGGCATAGCCAGAAATCTCTGAGTAGCGGCTCCATGCAAAGTGGCCACTCTTCAGTCAGGTTTATGGAGAGCAGTGTGCTGATGAAGCCTGACTCTGAACAAGTAAATGCTCAAATGGTGTCAGAAAATCACTTCTCAGGTCCTTCAGCTTCTGTTGCTAGTGGAAGTTCAATATGTAAGAATCAAAACCAGAATGACCTTCAGCTGGGCACACGGCGTACTAGCAGCAGTTGTGTACTTGCTCGGCGCCCTTCTGAGAAGGGTTCATCCTCCCACCTGTCTGCAGCACAGATATCTCGGAGTGCTGCTGCCGAAACACGAGACTACAATGAACAAAGACGCTCCCTGCCCTCTGCAAAGTGTTCCGGCCAACAGCGAGACTCTGTATCAAGGCAAACATCAGCCACTGTGCTTGGTCGACGAGTGTCTCCACATCGTAGCTCTGAAGCATCTAAACGGTCTCGTTTCCCATCTGCTCCAAATGACGGCAGCAGGCCAAATCAGCACAAATGGCTTCCTGTGACTGGAGGAGGAAATCCCTTAGAAAGCTACTACCCTATGTTCGGTGTGGTCTCCAGCCCTGGGAGTGACAGCAAGTCTCTTCCATCATCACTCTACAACCAAAATGGTGTTATTACCTTTGACCCACTTAGTCAGTATACATCCACAGAGCAGACATTAGGCTCCAAACCCAGCTCCACCTCTGGGAAGATCCCCAGCACTAAATGGGCCCAGGGAACCTGTGACCTCCCTGACTCTGGACATAGAGCGAGTAAGCACTTCTCCCCAACCTGGACCTACAGAATCCCTCAACCCCTTGGTGGCTATGATATCAGACGGCTGAGGAAGCCTGGACAGGAGGCTGTGAGTCGCCAGAAGCCACAGCAGCCCTATACACGCCGCCCACCTCTCAAGCCCCAGCAGCAGAGGGTTCCTCACCCAGTCAAGTGGGTCAGGGTGAAACTGAATCCCACACCCTAGCAGGTGAGTGTGCTTTAGTTCTCACTATTCAGATTCATTAAGCTTGACTTCTAATGTGGCTCTTCTCTACAGGTGCTGGTCGACTTGTTGGCTGAATTGTTATGAAATAAAGGCTTTAATTTGTATTTTGTTGTTTGGTTGTTTTAACTTGCAGTGGTTAAGCTGGAGTTTGGGTTATAAATGCAGGCTTGCTGCCACCTAGTGAGTGAAGTGTTGTACAAAAATGGCTTAAACAAAGAACCCTTATCAAATATCTGACAGCATACTGAATTAAGCCTTTTCAAAAGCATTACAGTTTAGAACAAGGACTAAATTGGATATGTAAATGCTAGACTGGAGAGTTTTTACTTTTGAAACTTTACTAAAGGCTTCAAATGTGGCATGTTAATTTGAGCTGTGAATGTGTCCTTTAAGCTGCATGATTGTCCTGGCCTCAGTAAGAGTCTCCTGTTCAGAGGCATTTGAGGTCTCCCTTGAATTTAAGTTTTGGGCAAGTCCTTTTGACCTTTAGTTGTAGGTCACCACTGACTATTGGCTCCCAGTCCACCCCATATGTAACTGCATGCTTTCTCATTGCCTCCAACCTAGAAGTTTTATCGTGTGTGTAATGTACTGGTTCAGGATAATTGGCACTGTCCCTGATCTGCAGTCCATCACCCTGAGTCACTAGCTGTCTGCATCTCTGCTTTGGAAATGCAGAATGAATTGGCTATGAAATGGGCTTTCCTTATTGGCAAACATGCATATTTGAGCATTATAATAGTTTTCAAAACCTTCATTCACCTCCAGTATTTACTGACTCATCTCCTACATCTGGTCAGTTTAACCCAGACAACTCCTGCACTCTGCCATCAGGACTGTTTCCATTCGTGGGCTTGGAGACTGGTTTTGAACACCACCTGTATTTCAATCTGGAGGTTTGAACAACATCTCTGAAGCTCAATCCAGATAGGATATGTTGACTTCCACTGCTGGGATTCTAGCTGTTTTCTACCAAAGCTGTTGCTCACTTTAATTCTATGAAAGGTTGCAACATGAGACAAAAGGAGAGAGCAGACACCTAAATGAACACAATGCAGAAACTGAATTGAACACTAAACTCCACTGCAAAGCTTCCTCTGTTTATTCATCCTAGCAAGAGCTGTCGCCCATCCAGTATTACTGAGGCAGAGACACTGTAGGTGGCTGTTCTGACCAGATGAGGGCATTGTACTTCAAGAGTGAGGAAAACCACATACAGTAGCTACAAACTAGATTATATGGAAGTAACACAAACCTCAAACAACTTCTTTCCCCTAATAGTTTATTCTGTATTATGCATGTGGATGTTGTATGACGCTGGACAAACCTAAGTGCAAATCTTGGCCTAATAACGGAGACTTGTGCTGGAACAATTATGTAGGATACTGACAAACCCTCCAGCTGATGCATTACCCAGCATCCTCTGATCAGAGCTGCGATTGCTTCTCAGTAAGAGTGGATGGAGGGATGGGGCAGGGCTTTGGAAGATTTGCTAGGTGATTATAACGGCTCAAAAATCTCATTACAGACATGGGAAAATTGTTGGTAGTGTGTTTACCCTTGGTGTGATTGTTTGTCATAGCTCTTCCAGAAATCCACAACAGCTGTCTGCAGGCTTCAGGTGTCGGCCAAAATGAGTTTCATGCACAGAATCTGGTGTTTAGCAACAACAGAACTAAGGTTGTCTTACTGGTAGCTGCAGCTTAGTTCAAATTGAATGCATATAAGCTGGTTAAATGTAACCCCCCCCTTTACCAGCTGCAACATTAAATGTGATGTACACAATGCAACAGTAATACAATATGATATACAGGAATGTGAAATGTGCCATTCTGCATAATGAGTACTTTTATTTTTAGTACTACTTTTGTATTGGAAGTAACATTTTGAATGTAGGACTTGTAATAGAGTATTTTACTTTATTACTTTTGCTTAAGTAAAGGATCTGAGTACTTCTTCCACCACTGTATATGGATAAGGAGCACTGGACAGATGTGGCATGGCTCCACTAATCAGCTGGGGATGGGCTGGATGGTGTTTCACAACATGCTGCCAAAGCAGGTGAAGGATGCCATTAAGCAGATCCACAGGTTTATCTTTCATTTTCAATCAGATGCTAATTATAACTGAGAATATGACTTTTTAACACCTGTAGTGGACATGATTTTTTTTTTCTGATTCTGTTTTTTATCATTAATTGCAGCACTTCTGCAGACTGTGTTCTAGGAGTCCGTCACAGCTACAGATGCATTCACTTAGCTCAGATTTCACCTGAGAGTCTGTGTGTGCTTGTGTGATTTGAGTGTGGATGAAAAGCTGATGGAAATGACATGCAAGATACGCAGCTATAAACACAGTGCCTGTAATCAGCTTCGTGTTGTGCATGCTGACTCGGCAAGGAGTTTTTCACTACAGAGTTTTCTTTTTAAACACACATGTAATTTTGATGACTGTATGAACAATCAACACACCTGGGTGCATTTGGTGTTTTTTGTTAATGGAAACAGTTTTATTTGCGTAATTTCCTCTCCAGCCCAGGTTTTTCTTTCTAACAATGCATGAAATGAATGGAGAGAAGCCAAACTTTGACTTAAATATTGTTCAGCTGCTTAAGTCACAAAATACTTCAGCACTGTGCTTTATGCAAAATAAACATGTTCCCAGTATTTGTTTTTCAAATACAGCTGTTCCCTGTAAAGGCCTGTAGGCCTACTATTGTGTTTTTAGCACCAGATGACCCACAGAGATGACTCGCACTGCCATAGACAATAAAAGCACCACTAAAGTGCAGTCAAATGAACCTTATAACAGGACGGAGCAGTACAAGTTTAGTTAAGTTACCAATGATGTTTGACACAAAATAATGTCAATAAGGATTTTAAACTGAAAGTCACAAAGGTAAGTTGTCACACAGTTCATTCCTCCAAAACTAGGGGTGCTATCCTGAGTCAAATAGCCACGCTGTGTGTCCCATACCTGCCTGAGTCAGCATCCTGTTTGTCTTCAATCAAAGCTGAGTTGAGCACAATTTTCTCATTTTCCCCTTCCGAAGTAAAACTATGGAAGCCAACAATTTATGTAACAAAATGTTTTTAAGTATGAATATTTACATTTTAAATTTATCTAGGGTTGATAGGAGTGTGTGATTTGATGCTTTAAGGACAGCTTTAGCTTGAAATAGCCTTGAGATTTAGCCAAATGTAGCAGATTATGGAGCAGGTTGGCCCAGTGGACTGCATGGGAGCAAGCTGTCACATGTGACAAATTACTCCTTGCAAATGTGCAACCAGAACTTGCTGGAAAATGTTGTGAATGCAATGTGAAAATGTGTTTTAAATGGACGAAAGGACGAACAATGAAGTGACTGAAATAAAAGAAATAGCAAGGAGGGAAGAAGGTTAGGAGCTATGAGAGAAATCACTCCCTACTCACTGTACAGTGTGTTTGCCATGTAGTAGTGGTATCCAAATGCTGAGTGTGTACATCTGTCCACTATATGGTGTTCCACAGTGGAACATTAAAACTAGTGTACATGCCATGTACGCTGCTTTCTGCTAACAATGGGGAGCGAACAGGAGTGCAGACACAACCAGAGAATGGCGGAACACCACCAAATGTGATGCTGGAGGCTGTGAGGCAGGTGAAGCTTCATCACAAATCAATCAGAAGGACCGCCAAAGATTTCAACATTGTTTATTGCTGAGATGCTCCGGTGAGGAGGTTGAGGGTCAGGCAGCTGTGCCAGTCACCAGTGTTGGCTATTAAAAACTCTGATAGGGTTTCTCCCCTGAACTGGAGATGCAACTGGTAGAGTACATCACAAGGTCGGTAGACATTTACTTTGGTTTATTGGCTAATGAAGTGAGACAGCTGTCCTATGAGTTTGCAGTGGCATAGCATTTGAAAATCTCTGCTATGTGGGCAGAAAAAGAAGAGGCCAGAGCAGAATGATTTACCGCTTTCCTGAAGCACCATGCATTTCATCCCCAAGGAAGCCAGAGGCAAGGAGCCTTGCCCAAGTGAGTAGCTACAATCAAGAGAATGTAAATGCTTTGACAATCTTGCACAAGTGCTACAAAGGCATCAGCTCCAGCCAGGAGAAACTGGCATGACAACAGCCCAAAAACCAGATGTGGATTTATACAAATACAAGAAGAACACTCATCATGCTGGCTTGTGCTGTCCCAGCAAAAGGAAAAAGTATTTGCCCATTTTTTTGAGACCCAAGAGATCATATCAGTGACCACTTCCTTATAAATAGACCATCTGGCAGCAGAGGAGGGGCAAAACCATCAGGCTGGATGAAGGACACACACTTGACAGAGTTTCAAAGCCTTGTCTGCTACTTGTGGGCAACCAGGAGTCTCATCGTTGCATTGATAGGTTTAATTAAGCCAAAGAAAATGACATAATTATGCTGTCCTTCCCACCCCATTGTTCTCACTGATTGCAACCACAGGACAGCTCTACAGGCCACTGAAGAGGCACATCAACATCGCCTGTGACGCTTGAATGTGAAACATCCAGGCTGGCAATCGAGTGGCTAGGTCTGTATTTTTGGAGACAGAGTTTTCTCCCTCCTACATCACCAATCGACGCATGCAGAACCCAGTCCAGCCAGGCCCCACCACTCGACAGTCTTGTCCCACCACTCTCCAGCTAAGGGGGAAAACATTGCAAAATGGAAATTTTGACAGATGTGCCAGTGAAAGAAGCGCTGTAGCTGCAGAAAATACGAAGAAAGAGAGGAAGTGTCTTTCACTTGGTACAACATTACAGTGTATTATTTGCATTAACTGAGGAAAAAATGTGACAACATGCCCGGCTCTCCCCCACATGTTGTGATGCTCTGATGGTTGTGATGGCTGCTTTCTGCACTTCTGGCCCCAAACTCTGGATTAATCTGCCCCTGGATCTGAGCTGAGATACAGCCAGGTGGCAAATTAAAGGACAGACCTGAATAAATGAGGATGACAGTACCTCCATCCACAGTGCACAAGGCGTCACCGGATGGTTTGATGAGTATGAAAATGAAGAATCATATGCTGTGGCCTTCGCAGTCACCAGATCCCAACCTATTAACACCTATGGGAGATTTTGGAGCAACGTGTTCAACAGAGTCTCCACCACCACCATCAAAACACCATGTGATTGAATATCCTTTGTTCATCCCTCCAGTAGAGTCCAGGAAGTAGCCACATCTCGTGCATGTATAAAACAAATAGGGATGGAGTAAATACAAGCCGCCAACTAGTGCTTACTGAAAGGGCAGTTATTGGGTTTTTCCCTTTATGATAATACTAAGGTCCAGACCTTATTCTGTGTCCTGAGACGACCTTTGTTGTGATTTGGTGCTATACAAATCAAACTGAATTGAATTGAATTAAATTAATAGAAGATGGTATTGAGTTGCATCATGGGAAATGTATAACCCATTGTTTTAGAAGCTTCCACCATCACTCTTACACCCACAGTTTACATTGGTGATAATAAAATTAGACTCAGTGAGGTTGTTAGTGAGTTTTCTTATGATTGGCAGTTTTGGTAGAACAGTGTCAGTGGTTGGACAATGAGCAGACTCTCAGAGGTGACTGCCATTACAAACCAGCTGGACCAGCCACTGCTTAACCTGAGCAAATCAAATCCAGTGCAGATGCTGTGTGTCAAGACACATATCTGCTCTTTGCTTAGGTGAGGACAGGATTCAGGGACGCTTTGTGTCAAGGGTAGGTTAGGTCTGGAAAATGGCATTGCTTATTGTAGGGCTCTGAAGATTCATGACAGCATGGCTTGACACCCCCCTCTCTAGGGCCAAATCATGGGTAAACATCATTTAACTCGTATATAAATGCTCTTTCATTCTTTGACACATTTAATTGTGTAATAGTGACTGGCACTAAAAATCCAGATACTGTATCTTGACTATACTTTGTTGAAATCTGTCATGTGAGATCCCTAACTTTATCAATGCAGTTCCCTTTTAAAGAGCTTTCCTGTATGAAAGCTCCATTTCTAATTTTAATATTGTCAGAGTTGATAAATACACTCCGTGAAAACAGGCCTAATCCTGTCCATTGAGTGCAGATCTATTCTTGATCTGCAGTTCCATAAAGTTAATGTTGTGAAAAGGAAGGGAGGACTTTACTTTGGACCACTTTCATGTCTTGCTTACAAAACATATCTTGATCTCAGAGAGACTTCCTGAATAAAGAGGACTTAACTAAGTAAATCCACATCAAGAGGTGGCTGGAGCTGTTGAAAACGATCTTGCCAAATGTAACTCAAGCTGCCTGTGTTTTGTTTCTCCATGGAGGGCTGCAATGGAAATAAACATGTCACAACTTTCCTGAGGAAGGATTTTGGTTTCCTTCAGGGATACATGTTCTTGATTTGTCTTAAAGGTGAATGCAGCCTCTGTCAAAAATATTAAATGAAATAGAGAGGCCCTATTTGTGGAGGGGGGTGGGGGTGTCACACTCTTAGTTTATCTATGTATCAGTCAATGTAGTATACAGTGCCTTACAAAAGTATTCTCACTCCTTGAACTTTTCCACATTTTGTCACATTACAACCACAAACTTAAATGTATTTCATTGCGATTTTATGTGATAGACCATCACAAAGTATTGCATAATTGTGACGTGGAAGGAAAATGATACGTGGTATTGAAGATTTTTTACAAATAAAAATCTGAAAAGTGTGGCGTGCATATGTATTCAGCCCCCTGAGTCAATACTTTGTCGAACCAGTTTTCTAGCCTTGCCACAGATTCTCAACAGCATATAGGTCTGGACTTTGACTGGGCCATTCTAACACATGAATATGCTTTGATCAAACCATTCCATTGTAGCTCTGGCTGTAGGTTTAGGGTTGTTGTCCTGCTGGAAGGTGAACCTCCGCCCCTGTCCCAAGTCTTTTGCATCTGACCAGAGCACCTTCTTCCACATGTTTGCTGTGTCCCCTACATGGCTTGTGGCAAAAATGCAAATGGGACTTCCTATTGCTTTCTTTAAACAATGGCTTTCTTCTTGCCACTCTTCCATAAAAGCCAGATTTGTGGAGTACACGAGTAATAGTTGTCCTGTGGACAGATTGTCCCACCTGAGCTGAGGATCTCTCCAGAATTACCATGGACCTCTTGGTTGCTTCTCTGATTAATGCTCTCCTTGTCCGGCCCATCAGTTTAGGTGGACGGCCATGTCTTGGTAGGTTTGCAGTTGTGCCATACACTTTCCATTTTCGGATGTTGGATTGAACAGTGCTCGGTGAGATGTTCAAACCTTGGGATATGTTTTTATAACCTAATCCTGCTTTAAACTTTTCCACAACTTTATCCCTGATCTGTCTGGTGTGTTCCTTAGTCTTCATGATGCTGTTTGTTCACTAATGTTCTATAACAAACCTCTGAGGCCTTCACAGAACAGCTGTATTTATACTGAGATTGAATTAGACACAGGTGGACTCTATTTACTAACTAGGTGACTTCTGAAGGCAGTTGGTTGCACTAGATTTTATTTAAGGATAGAGTAAAGGTGGCTGAATACAAATGCACGCCACACTTTTCAGATTTTTATTTGTAAAAAATCCTGAACACCACGTATCATTTTCCTTCCACTTCACAATTATGCGATACTTTGTGTTGGTCTATCACATAAAATCCCAATAAAATACATTAAAGTTTGTAGTTGTAATGTGACAAAATGTTGAAAAGTTCAAAGGGTATGAACACTTTTGCAAGGCACTGTAAATATCAGGGACAGGGACAACTATGCAGTATAATGGGGAGATGTCAATCAATGCAGGGACAGAAAACATGGCTGCACACCTGATAAGCAGCCTACTCCGCTGTGTGTTGTGCTTTTGTGTAAATATCAAAGCTGTCAGCCCAACGTGGACTATGCTGCTTTAAAAGGTATCAAATTGTGATGTGTGAACCAAATGAAACTGCAGCCTCAAACAAAGTACAAGAGAAATAATGAATAAATCCACAGCAAATGTCTTACGAAGATTTAATGTACATTTATTCTTAACACGTAGAACATATAGTATAAAGATTTCATACTGAATAAATGATATTCATTAAGCCAAAAAAAGGAAAAAAAGAGGAATTTACATCAAGTTTTTAGCTACATCATCTGAAATACAAATATGTAGAATCCGCATCACTGGAAACAAAAATAAACAAAATAGTTTCTTCATCAAGGTCTAGTTTGTCATTTATGAAGGAGCTCAAATGAAACCGCAGACATGATTTTTGCTGTATTCTCTACATCCAGACCAGAGCCAAACTGAAACCTGAAGTTGTGTTTGTTGGGGGTGGTGCTGGACAGCGGCTAAACACCCCACCACCCCTCAGAGCAGGATATGAGCAGGGCGAAGGACCAACATAACGGAGAGGGTGGGCCGTCAAGTAATCACATGGCCTACTTGATGCAGGGAAACTTGTAATCATCAAAGGTTAAAAACAGTGAAGAGCAACAGAAGTTGAGAAAGAGAGAGAAGTGTAATGTACAACATCATATATACACTGCAGCTTGGACTGCATCTAGATCTGAGGACCAGTCCTAAAGAGGTGACTTTTTAATATAAGGGTCAAGTCATACAATCAAGGGACAAAGAGAAGAGGTCGGGGTGTTGTAGGTTCACCATACTTTGGGGGAAAAGCCATTTTCTCTCTCCAGATGAACTAAAACCGATGTTTAAAAACTACAGTTTGCTGCCAGGCCAGCGTATCTCAGTGTGAAACAGTATTATTACAGTATGTTTACAGTTTTTAAGGTGTACAGTACAGAAAAATGTCCTACAATCTACTGCACAGGCCTCCCATGACAGATGTTCACAGCCAATAATGTCATTCCTGTGGGGCTGAGTATATAGCATCCAAAGTTACAGCAATTATACCACACCACAGTCCGTGAGTCTATGTACTGTAGCCTCCAAACATGAACCATAATATTGTTTAGTCCGTGCCCTCGTCCCCTGCTGACCCCCAGAGGGAGAACGCAAGCACATATTTCCCCCAAACTCACTGTAAACGAGACAGCAACTTTGGTTAGTTTTTTTATTTTTTATGGAGATTTTTCTTTTCATTAAAAAAAGTTCTTTCTGCAGGGGCAGTGCCCTCCGTCCTATGCCTGGGTCCAGATCTGCTCTTCTCTGCTAGTATCATTCCTTTTCTGATGTTTAAAACCCACAGTCCCTTCATGATAGTTCTTCCATTAGCGAGAAGAGGGGTAGAAAGACAGTGGAGTCCGAGGTGATTTTTGCATAAATTAAAAAAAAAAGGACAGTCAGTTTTGCTCTTTTCACTCACACGCAACAGACAGCCAGCCAGACACACACACAAAAAAGGGTGAGGGGTAAAGACGCAGAGCTGAAGCCTCTCCACGGCTGTCATGACTGGCCAATCAGAAACAGTACATCACAGATCACTTGGGACACCAGAGAGTTCATAAGTGGCGACACCGAGATGTCCAGTAGCCGTGACTCGTACAAAGTGAACTCAGAGTGGTTTTCCTCTACCTTAGCCAGGGCGTGCAGGGCTCGGGCCGCCCGCCGCATCATGTCCACACTGGTGGGCTCAAACTGGGGTGCACCCTGCATTTGTAACAGGGAGCTCTGGCTCTGCTGGTACTGTGTGGCAGCTAGGCTGTCCTCCAGGAAGCCCAGCAGGTTACCCACACTGCCTTTCTGCACAGCGATAGCCCGTGCTGCCAGGCTGTCACCCTGGGCCAGATTAGCCAACAGCACAACTGCCATTTCCCGGCAGACGGCCACCTTGCGCTCACCGACCAGACGCACCAACGAGCCGTAGAGCTTCTCCAAGCGGCTGAATGGTGGCGTTGCCAGTATGAGGTCGACGTTGTTGTCCTGGATACTGAGCTTGCTGAGGGTCTCGAGCACCAGTCTCTGTGGGGACAGTGAGCCGTGGGGCCCCAGGGTGGGGAAGGGGTCCAGGGCCTCCGCCGAGGGGCAGACAGCCCAATGGAGCAGGCCATCCAGCAGTGGCAGGCATATACTCTCTGGGTAGATGGAAAGGTCCAGTTGGCCTGAGATGTTTGCCAGTGTGACTAAACAGTTCTCCCTTAACACCTCGAGGCAGTCCCACCACCACTCATCTCTTTCGCAGCTCACGCCTTCATCTTCCTCTTCCTCCTTCTCATAGGTGACTGGTGCCTGTTTGCGTTCAGGGTGCTTGTGGTGGAGCAGCACCAGGTGGCCTAGGAGCAGCAGGAGGCCTGGATGTTTTGACATCTCCAGGTCGTTCCCAGGGACAAAGGAGAGGCTGCGCACTATGTTGGAAACACAGATGCATCGTCGAGCTAGCGAGTCCTGCCAGTCCGACAGAGTGCTGAGCGGTGTCTCGTCCTTGCTGTGAGGCTCATCCTCCAAGATTTTGACATTGCGGCGGCTCTGGAGTTCGGGGTTGATGCTGAACAGAAACTTGCCATTCTCCTTCTGCTCCTCTGCGCCTCCTCGAACCACTTCCTCTGTGACCGACCCTGGGCGGGCAGAGAGCACATCATCGATGGTGGCAGTGACAGGTGTGCCAATGAGAAGAGGAGGAGGAGAGGTTTTCTCCACAGGAGACTTCTGAGGATCAGAGGATTGCAGCGGCTGCTGAGGCTTATCCTCCCTGATGGACTTGGATTTCTCAGGGTTTTCAGCTGGTGTCTCAGGCACATGGACCTTCTTGCGGCTCTCAGTGGCTGTTGGTTTATGTTTCTGCTGCTTGACAAGGTTCATCTGGCTCTCAAAATGGGTCTGGATGTGTTCGGTAGTGTCACCACCACCAATGCTCCAGTGTATCAAACCACTGTCAAAGCTCTGCCGCTGCCCAAGCTTGGAAGAGTGGTTGACCAAGAAGGGGTTCTTCTTCCGCACTAACTTGATGGGGAGTTTGTCAAACTTGCTAGCCTGTTTGGGCTTTTCTGAGTGCAGGTTGGGGTCTGGGAGGGTCCTGGAGGTAGAGGTACTGGGTTCCTTGATATTAAACTCCCTTTCCTTCTCCTCTTCCTCATCCTCTGAAGACTTGCCTTTCTTGGAGCTCTCCTCCTCCTGTTTCACTTGAACCAGAGGGGAGGGATCTGGATTGGTCTTTGATTCCTCTGCCTCCTCATCCTCTTCATCCTCTTCATCTGTATCCATGTCCTCACCTTCCGGCATGGGAAATTCATCATCAGAGTCCTCAGTAGCATTGGGATCTATTAGGGTGCGCTGGCCAGGGTCTCCTACTTCGTACTCCTTTAAGATGCCAAAGAGCTCAATGAGGCAGCGTCTAAAATACTCCACCACCAGCTCCAGGAATCCAGGCAGCTGAGAAACCAGAGAATGGTCACTAAGACTATGAACTTTTATACACAGTGTGACAACAAAATAGATTTTTGAGACATGGGTTGGTGGAACTTACTTGACATAAGTTAAAAGTAGAAATGCTGTTGTCGTCATACAGTAAAATGTTAATGGTGTCCAAGGCCCAGGTGCTTTCAGCTAGTAGGCCCGACTTTAGTGACATCATCACCCTCCAAGCCTCAGGTGTGCCTGTGATAAAACAGAAACAGAATGAATCCAAATCAGTGTGATCATCACCACTTAACTGGATCACTGATCTGTAGCAGCAGGTTAAATCTTCCTAAATATACATTTCAACTGAGCAGCCTGTATCTGACGACTGATTCTAAAGTAAGACTTCCCAAAGCACAGAGGAGTATCAAATGGCAAATTCAGGTCATCAGACATATGGCTGGCAGCAATTAGTGCTGTGCCCATTCACTTAAAGAAATGGTCAAGCATAGCCCTTTCGACAGCGGTTTACCCACCACTGTTGTCAATAGGCAGTTTGTTGATGCAGTGCTCGTCTGTTTATATCATATGCATATATTACCTTATATACATATGCATGTCTATTGAAAATACAGAGCAAGACACAAAATGAAAGCCGTGTACCAATGTCTTTCATGGTGAGCCGCTTGCGAGGCTTAAGGTGGGGCTGGGTAGCTTCAATAGAGCCTGGAGGGAAGGCCACATCTCGCCTGATCATGGGCTGCTGCACAGGGGCCTGGCCAATATGGGAGGCGGGTACTGGAGGTCCAGCTTTCTGCACCTTAATGCCCGGATGCATGTATGGAGACTTGCTGGGTGATGTCCTGTTTTCCATGGGCCGTGGCATGGGTGCTGGACTTGACACCTGAGGAATGTGGTTCTGGGGAGTCTGATAGGTGGATGGCAATGGTCTGGCCATGGGAGGTCCAGAACCACCGGGACCAAACGGTGCCTGCCGCTGGTTGCTGTGGCCAGGCCACTGGCCTTCGTGGTTCATACGTTGATCTGATGACATTATCTCTTCTGAACGGTTAATGCCATGGTATCCAGGGCCCTGACCAGGTACAGGAGGTCCCTGTCGGTTGGGATAGCTAGGGTAACCCATCTCATTGCGGCCTTGCCACATCGGACCCTGGGGACCATCAGGACCTGAAGGCACGGTGCTTGCCATCATCTGGGGTGGCATTTGAGACTGGGAGTTGGGGCCTACAGTTGACAGACCTCGGTCCCTGCCAAAGGGGAAGGGGAACTGGTTCTGTGGGCCTGGTGGTCTGCGATCCCCTCCAGGGTATGCGTTGTACTGGTTATACATGTCCTGTTGGCCCTGGGGTCCTGAGGACTGGGGTCCTGGCTGCTGCTGACCACCATAGGGGACGTTGTACATTTCTCCCTCATGGCGCTTGGCGGGGGGGCCATACCCTCCATCTACAGGACGCTTGTAGTTCTGTTAGCAGACAACATTCAACAATCAAGTGTCACTACACAATGTTGTATTTTTAAATGTTTTTAAATTCAAAAGCACATTGCAAAGGTGCAGGGAGAAAGAGAAAGAGGGAGTATGACATGCAAAAAAGGTCATAAAAATTTTGTACAAAAACATCTTAAAATGTTTTCAGAAGGGAAGTAAGAATAAGAACACTGTAAATGCCAAACAATATTCTTACAGGCTGCTGCTGTGGATACATTCCTGGCTGCTGATTTGGGTAAGGGCCACCAGGGGGAGCTCCTTGGACAGGGTACTGATTCGTATAGGAGTCGTGCCTGAAAACAATAACAAAAAATTCACACCATTAGGTTTCTTCTTTTCATTAAGTGCACAGACAATTTTAGTATGAAACTGCAAAGCTGATAACCCTGCAGACTTCTAGCACAATCACTGGCAAAATGCCAGAAAAACAGCCATTCTTCTCCTACTACAGACCAATCTTAGCACAGGATGGTACTGACCGTTGTTGTGGTGGAGGGCGGCTGGGTGAGTACATCCCTGTGTCGGCTCCAGATGGTATCATGTTGGGCTGAGGAGCTCCTGGTCCCATGGTGCTGTCAGGGCCCATGCCGGGCTCCTGTCTGTAAAACCAATAAACAGCAATCAGCAGTTGATTTGACTTAACTGGATATAAAAATGGACAAATCCCAATCTTGTCAAACACTCTGTCACCATTTTATGTATGATGAATGTAATTATAACATCATTCTGACCACTTGGCGAATAATGCAGTATGTTTACCTTCGGTCATATCCGTAAGGGTACTGTTGCCTCTGACCCATCTGCATGTTGCCAATAGGGCCGGGCGGGCCTCTGTTATACTGTTCTCCCATCCCACTGTTGGGCCCTGGTGGCATGAACTGCTCTCCAGCTTATGAAGAAAAAAAAAACTTGTTAGTTTGAGCTTTAACAAAACTCCTGCAGCTTCTGGCTTGGTTGCTTGGCTAGTGCTCACCTTTCCTCATGCCACAGAAGGGGTCCTTGTTGGATTCATAGGGACCCATCCGACCCATCATTTCTGGGCCACTCATTCCAGGCTGGAAGCCCTGAGAATTAGGAGTCATGGCATTCCGTCGGGAAAACGCTGGGTCCCCACCATCAGCAAACGGGTCCTGTAGATTCACACTAGTCCTGCAGGAAGGCAAGAGCCTTTTAAGTGAAATGTTGAGTTCCTATGTATCACATATCACATATGACAGTAAAAAATGCCATCAAATTTCTTTTTCAAACATACATTTTAAGAGACATTTAAAACAGTGTGGGGACAATGTGTAATGAATTTATCTGCTCTATTTAATCTACAGTTTTGGGAGACATTGATATTCCTGTACTTTATATTTTACATAGTTTTCATTTTTGAATGTTTTACAAAGTCATTTTCTTTTAATGTTTTTATACTCCTCTTCAAAACTTAATAAGTTGGCTGATTGTGTGGATATTTTAATATGACTTGGGATTACACATCTTAAAAGCAAATTTTCCTGTTTGTTGTACTCCCTCAGCAATGATCAAGTCTTGCCATTGGGATCACTTTCATTTTATTGTGATGACTCCTGATATTGATAACATCATAGAAACACAATATTGTGGCCTCTAACACGTACCTGACGCCAGGCATTGGAGGCAATTGTGTGTGGGGGGTGGACGCTGGGGTGGGGGGCTTTAGGTCTCCCCCCTCTGCCATTGAGCTACTGGTGGATTGAGGAGTTTGGGGTCCTTGCAGTGATCCAGAACCAGCTGCAAAACAAGGATATACACACACTCAGTAGTGGGGAAACAGCTATCAAGTAAATGGTCTTCTACTTGTACACTTTACAGCATAGAAAAGTGTTCATAAAAGTGTTCTCACACTACTTGGCCATTCACCCATTCGCACTCTCAAATGCTCACACATTCACACCCCGGTGCCATCACTGGGAACAACTGGGGATTCAATGTCTTGCTCAAGGACACTTCGACAAGTTGACTAGACAAGCCAGGAATCAAACTGCTAATCCTCTGGTTTGCAGACGACCCACTCTACCTCCTGAGCCACAGTCTGCAGAAGTCAAAGATTGCAGAGACGACATTGCCTCCCACTCTCCTCACCCCAGGAATTAAGGTGAGACTTGGTAGTCGATAGTGAGGCAGGATAGGCTGGGGGCTTTCAGAACACATGCTGCATTTGGCAATCCTACAACCCCAAATCAGAAAAAGTTGGGATGGTATGTAAAATCTAAATTAAAACTGAAAATAGTGATATGTTAATCATCTGTGTCCTGTATTACATTGAAAACAACTTGATTTGATACCTCATCAATGTTATTCTTTATTCAGAATAAACACTCAGTTCGATTCTGATGCCTGCAACACATTCCAAAACAAGTTGGGACGGTTGCAGTTCAGGGCCAGTAATGAGGTGAAACATTGAAATGATGATTCCATGTGAACCAGGTGATGTCAACAGGTGACTGCGTCATGATTTGGTACAAGAGTGGCATCCAGGAAAGGCCGAGCCCTTTAGGAGCAAAGATGGGCCGAGGACCAACAGTTTGCCAACATATGTGTGAGGAAATTATTGAAATGTTTAAAAACAATGTTCCTCAAAGAAAGATAGGAAGAGATTTGGATCTGTCACCCTCTATGGTGCAGAACATCATTAAGACAGTCAAGGAATCGGAAGGGATTTCAGTGTGTAAAGGACCAAGCCTGAGCTGGATGACCGTGCTCTCTGATCCCTCAGACGGCACCACATCAAGAATCGTCACTCTTCTTTATAAGATGTAACCACATGGGCTCAGGATGACTTTGGCTCACCTGTGTCAGGCTCTACAATACGTAGTTACATCCATAAATGCTGCTTAAAACTGGACTGTGCCAAAAGGAAGCCCTATGTCAACAGTGTCCAGAAGTTGACTGCTCTGGGCTCTGAGGCATCTGGGATGGACACAGTGGAAGCGTGTACTGTGGTCAGATGAATCAGTGTTTCGGGTCTTTTTTGGAAGGAATGGACACTGTGTGCTCTGGACCAAAAGACAAAAAGGACCATCCAGACTGTTAGCAGCAACAAGTCCAAAAAGTCAGCGCTGTACAGAGGAACAGAGATTATGTCGATCTGACTGGCTTCTGAGTGCACAGCAAGTGAAAATGTGCTATCCACCAGTTCATCACAACATGCCAACCCCTCCACCCCCTGATAGAGAAAGGGGGTTGAGAGTGGGTCTTGGAGCCACCAGGAAACAAAGATCTAAACCTTGACTCTGACAGGTTACTGCCTGGCCTGTATGAGGCAACTACTTGAGTCTGTGTGCTTGAGAGTGAGTGATTAGTTGTTTGTGTTTTGTGTGTGATAGTAGCACTCATCCTTAACTTCAGCTCAGGACTTCTCACCATTAGCACACAGTCTGATGACTCACACGTTTCCATTCATTAAACTGGCATGCACACAGAACACACGGGGGTCACTGGCAGGTCACATTTATTCACATTTTCTCACGTCAGCCTCTTTGCCTCTATAGCGCTCGCTCACACACACACACACACACACACACACACACACACACACACACACACACACACACACACACACACACACACCGAAACTGGCCCCCCCTGCCCTCCCCCATCCTCCCTCTGGGCAGGGATTTCCCTCTACTAAAGATGAAGGGAGGAAAGGGGAGGGGAGCAGAGAGAGGATCACGTGTGGATGAGAGAAAAAAAAATGTTGTAGAGTCAGAGAGAGAAAACCGTGTGACGTACACACACAAACCTCTTCCCCCATTCATCATTTCTGGCTCAGTACTAATCTCCAGGGAGTGCTGCCTTGCTTCTGTAGCCCTGGGCCAGGCACCAGGCAGCGAGGACATGCCACTGACACGGCATCGCTATCAACAAATCACCTCCTGCCCCATGCTGCCACTCGCCCCCCTCCCCGGCTCTTCCTCCATACTAACTAGAGGGTTGATGTCAACTGACAAGCGCCCTGATGTCTCCTGTAACAACACCCTGTGCTGACTCAGTGCCCCATGTCTGACAGCCTGGGTCTCAGCCAGACTGAAGTAGCACATGGTTCTTCCTGGTGTGCCCGCTTCTGGAAGCTATTACACGAGTCCCTCCAAAGCTTCTAGTTGACAACGTGGTCTTGAGACCCCCTCCCCAACATGGGGTATAACTGTCTACCAGTCACACTGACTTTTACACAACACAGAGTTCATTGAAATATCTGGCATGCTGGTTGCATCACCTCTTGCACAAAAACCAACATGGGGGAGTCTGAAAAGACAAGACTTTGGTCATGTCCTGTGCAAATGTCAGCGAGCATTCCCCCAAGAGATATAATCACAGAACTGTCTGGAAGTGCACTTCTGTGGTTTACAGCTACACATCCTTCATTCATAACTAGTCCAACACACGCCAAAACAGCAGCGATTTATGGAGAATATGCCTCATGCAGGAGATGACAAACAATGGTCTATGAATGGCTTTTAACATTTCAATCAATAAGATACAATAAAACTGACTAGTTTATAGGCAGATGTGAGGCAAATAAAGCAATGATGTATTTTACAGAAACCCAGGAGGAAAATAAAACAAGCTTCCAATCATTGAGATTTGAGTGCCACTGCTCACCTGGGCTGGGAGGCTGGATCTTTGCTTGGTTCTTTTTTGTGTCTGTGTTGAAGAAGTCTGGGGGTGGGTCCTCGCCACGCTCAATCTTACACTCGAAGGCGTACAAACACTGGATGTACTGTTTTTTGAGTGAACTGGCTGCGCTGCTTGATGTGCCCACGTTCAGGTTGGTGGCCAGTTCCCTCCACTTCTTGTTCTTGTTCACCTGGTGGGCGACAGTAAAAGGAGGATTCTCACAAAGCTGCACACAACCGCTTCAGAAAAATGCCTGTCATGACATTCACATCCAATTCAAGTGGATTCCAGACGAACCTGGGTGAGGCCGCCGATCTCTTTGACAGACACATAGAGTCTGAATAGATCGAGAGGCTTACGGCCCACAGCAGGCAGGTTGTTCATGCCCATGGCCTTCTCCTCAGCAAAAGCCAGGTATCGGTCCACCCACATCTTTCTCTCTGGCTCTGGGCCAAGCTCGTACAGACGAGTAATCTTCTCATTGGTGATGGTGGAAGAGCTTGATTTCTTAAAGACCGATGATGGAAAGAATTCATGAGAATGGAGGAAAAAAAGCTCTAATGAGCAACATGAACTTCATCATGTGGACTTAGAACTTGTACCTTTTTGGATTCAGGTTTGGGAGTCCCATCCACTTTGTTGTTTATTTTCTGGGTAGGGTTCATTTTGTCCACGCCAAACTCTGAACTGGGAGCCATTCCTGGTTGTTTAGGAGTAATAAGAAGGGGGTGTAAAAATACAGGATTTGCAGTCTATAAAATCATTTATGGACAAGGCTTTCAGGTCCACAATAGTGGTGCAACCACCTCATATGGGCTCCATTGCAGCTTACTCACCAGGGGTGTTGTTGGCCATGTTTGTCCCCATTGGGTATGGCCCTGGCGCTCCCTGGTTCATCATACCATGCATGCTGCTTGGACCATATGGAGAGCCTGCTCCTATCATGCCCTGGGTCATGTTAGGGTAGCTAGGTGGCCTTTAGGAGAAAATTCTTGTTTAGAGGGAAAACTGAGACACAACCAACTGATAAAACTGCATCACTATTACAAAGAAATTATATTTTGCAGTTCAGTCATCCTTTCATGCCATAACCAAGCTATACTTTTCCCTTGTCTTGTGCTCACTGTTTTCAGCTTATTCTGCAGGAAACATCAATTTATGTCACTAAGTGCCAATCCCACAAGTATCCCTCTGTAGGCTGAGCTGGCATCCTCACTGGTTAAAAAGCCCATGGCATGCTTTCTGTGTTTTCTGACTTATCTACAATGTTACAACAGTGAATTATCATCTTAAATGTGAGTGAAAGCTCAAAAATGAGGCGTACCTATGTTGCTGTACTTCTATGCAGAAGCAACTCGGTTTATACAAGTCTCACAAACTCACAAGACTTTTTTCTAACTTTTTCTTAAGTATTAACTGATAGTTGCTCATAATCTCCAGGCAGTTGCATATTCATGTGAGCTTGCCTGACATCCACTGGTGCCATTCTAAAAGCAGGATGTTTTTCAAATGCATGCACTTTTGTGGATATATTTTGCCTTCTGTTGCTGCACTGTGACCAGAGGATGTGGAGAAAAATACAGGGCCTGAAGTTACTGCATGTCCGGGAATGTTCATGTACAGGGATTCACTGTTTTACCTGACCAGGTCTAACCTACAAGCAGCTGGCCTGTGAAGCCCCCTGTGGTGGTGAATGATCAGGTCATCAACACTGGATTCCCCTGGAGCATAGTACCTGTTTTTTTTTTGTTTTTTTTTTTGACAGTGTGATGTGATGTCTTGCAGGTTAACAAGAGCACTCTAATGGTCCATGTTGTTATTTTCCATGCTACGTTACATGTTGGAATTAATTTCACTACTTTGTGATTGTATGTGGTCGTCTGTAATGCAAGAGATTTCTGGGGGAAGACGCTGAGATCACCGATTGGATTTAGCAACCCCGAAGTTTCCACTACTCGGTGGGATTTAACGGTAAGTTTAAAAAATAAAAAACATGTTGCATGTCTGTTAATGCATTGTCTTTATAACAGAGAGAACTGTTGTAAGGCTGGAGAAGTTACTATGTCTGCATTATGGCAGTTAAAATATGGGGTTTCTCAATTACCCACTTTGTTTAGTGTTGCACATCTCTTTTCATCAGTTGTTTATCTATCTATGGAGAAGAAATTCAAATTAATTAATGCTGTTGCAGTTCTTCGTGCTGTCCACTGTCATTCTGGCTCGAACATAGCAGGTAGGACTTGAGGTATTGTCAATGGCGAAAATGTAGCTTATTTGTCAAAGTTTTTTTTTGTTGATGCGGTGTTGTAGCTTCCCGACCGGCAACAAGTATTGTGCTCGTTCACAAACTATCCTCTCGTTGTGCTATTGGGTGTTATCGTTCTAAAATAATGACAGACTATTTGGAGTGATGGGTGCAAAGCTAATGTAAAAGTACCCAAGATTACACATTAAATGGCTGGAAATTAGCAAAATGAGCATGCCATGGGCTCTTTAAGGATGAGATTCACTATTCTCAGAGACCATCTCCTGCTCTCTCATTCTCTCCATGTTTCTTTTCTCTCACAGATAAGAGCTTGGTCTACTGCACGTGTCAAACTCAAAGCCCACGGGCCACATCCGTACAATTACATCCGGCCCGCAAAATCATTTTATATATCCTTTTTTTTAATGGCCCGGTGATATGAAGCGCCGATAACACACAAACAACAAATCCCATAATGCAGCGCAACAGCTGCCTTACCGAACGATAGGCTACCTGCAATCATTCCCGTGGCAATTACGTCAGATCAATCAAGCGTCTGTTGATGTATACAACCCTAATTTCAAGTCAAAGCTAGCCCCTAACAATGGCCAAGAGGAAAGTTGATTCTGAAAACAGAGCCTTTCTAAACCGGTGGGAGGCTGAGTATATGTTTACTGACATTGTCGGTAAACCCGTGTGTCTTATTTGTGGAGCTAATGTGGCTGTAATTAAGGAATATAACCTAAGACGGCACTACGAGACAAAACATCAGGACAAGCTGAAAAACGTGAATGAAGAGCAGAAGCTACAGAAGGTAGAGGAGTTGAAGAGGAATCTGACATCACAGCAGACGTTTTAACTAAAGCCAAATCACACAGTGAAACTGCTGTGAAAGAAGTTTTATTGGAGCAGAGGAGAAAATCAGCCCGGACATTTACCGAGGGAGAGTTTCTGAAGAGCTGCATGATGAAAGTGTGCGACGTCTTGTGTCCAGACAAAAAGGAGGTGTTTTCAAATGTAAGCCTTAGAAAAAATACGGTTACTGATTTTAAGTTCAAGTTTATTTATTTTGAAATAATATTGTATCCTGTCTGTTTCGATTCATATTTATGTTCAAAAAACGTTTAGTTTTAGTCTGTAAAATAAATGTTTATCCTGTTTGGCCCGTGACCTAAAGTGTGCTTTGAGTTTTGGCCCCTGTGTCATTGAGTTTGACACCCTAATGTACTCAATAATAATGCAAAAGGTAGGTTCCCATGTTTGAGAATAATGTGCCCCTGACAGTATGAAAAATATAGTTAACTAAAAAATAATGAATTGTGGAAAGTCACCTTTGCTTCAGCTTAATTTTGTATTAAAACTGACAACTTTTTAATCTTACACTATTAATTTGCAAGGCAGATCAAATTTTGTCTGCTAGTTTCGTTTGTGTATGAGGAGCAATGATGTTGGGGATTGAGCTAAAATTTTCTTTGAATACTTGATTCCCTAATCAAGTTGAAAATTATTTTGACAACAGATTCATTGTTCAAGTAATTTCTCAAGCAAAAACCCCTATTTTGGTTAGAGTGTTTGAGGATGTTACTATTCTCTGTGTTATACACTCACCTGTTATTACACCTGTATAGTTGTAAGCACTTCAATGCAACACTTCCACCTTGTGTGTGTGCCTCTGTATTTATGAAGCTTAAAATGTTTGTTTTTGGTGAAATTGTCATAAATGTATAAATAAATTCAGTTATATGTTTATTATTAATGTCATAGTTAAATATTGGACTACATTATATTTAGAGGTGTCTCTATATTTTTGTCCTACATACACGAGAGGATCAGAATATTAGGAACACCTCTGAATATAATGTAGTACATCTCACATGATAAACATTAACCCTGTTTCAGGAAAAGATGGAATATTTTGCATTTATTAATTCACTTTGAACCTTTATTTAAGTGACAAAAGGACAAAGAAAAAGTTTTCTGTGTTTTCACTGACTCAACTGCATTGACATTGCGAATACAATTATGCAGTAGGCAAGTGCGTTAGAATCGCATTGTGTCAACGGCACGTAAATTTGAACATCATCTGCATACATGTGAAAATGAACATTATGTCTTGATATGATTGAACCAAGTGGTGACATATATAAAAAAAAGAGTAACGGGGCCAGAATCGAGCCTTGGGGGATGCCTGAGGTAAGAGGGGCTATGGTCGAGGAAGAAACATCAATAATGACAGAAAAGGTTCTGCTGGACAGGAAAGAGCTAAACCAGTTTAGAACCACGCCTCTCAGGCCGACGAGGTGTTCCAATTGGGAGAGCAAAACTGCATGGTCAACGGTGTCAAAGGCTGCGGAAAGATCTAGAACTAGAATAACTGGGTGTTTGGCATCAAGGGCCATAGTAACGTCGTTATGGACCTTCATTAATGCAGACTCAGTGCTGTGACGGGACCTAAAGCCTGACTGAAACTTATTAACAACATCCAGACGATCCAGGTGAGACTGCAACTGGGTAAGGACGAGTTTTTCCATAACCTTAGATAAAAAAGGCAAAAGGGAAACTGGGCGAAAATTGGACAGAAGGGAGGGGTCGAGGTTGGGCTTCTTGAGAAGTGGCCTCACTATAGCATGCATAAGGGGGGAGGGGATCGTGCCCAACCTAAGACAGCGGTTAAGAAATATGAAATATTTTGGAATAATATTGTATCCTGTCTGTTTCGATTCATATTTATGTTCAAAAAACATTTAGTTTTAGGCTGTTCAATAAATTTTTACCCTGTTCGGCCCGTGACCTAAAGTGTGCTTTGAGTTTTGGCCCCCTGTGCGATTGAGTTTGACATCCCTGGTCTACTGCCTTCTATTCTGTAGCACATTCAGGCACCAAAACACATTACAAACATGTGGGAAGAATCAGTCATTTGTCATGGTCACACAACCAGCACATACAAGCAAGGATGGACACACGCACACCTATACATATATACACTCATTCAAAACATACAAAAGAAATCTCCCCAAGGTCAAACAGTCAAGTCAAGTGCTCCCTCATGTCTAATTGAGACTAATGTAGTCAGTAACTCTGAGCACTCACCTGTTGTGTATTGAGTTGGTGGGCCCATGGTGCATGGAGGGGCCACCATCCTTCCTGTTCATGCCTGGAGGGGGACACATGCCGGACCCCACCTGAGGAGGCATGCCAGCCATGTTAGAGCCAATCCCAGGACCATAAGGCCGAGCACCCATTTGCCCCGGGCCTATTCTGCCAGGTGGTATGCTTCCGTAAGGAGTACCACTGCCCTGCCCGGGCATGGGGTTCATGGGGCCACCCATACCAGGACCGCTGGGGTAATTGGCATTGGGCATCCCTGTGTAGCCCGGCTGCCTGGGGTAACCTGGAAGGGTCACAGATGGACAGACATTTAGATTACAGACTGCTATCTGCAATCATCTGATGGTGCTTTATGACATCCCACTGTGCCTTTCAACTTTCATCCAAAACAGAAATGTGTGGAAGAACTTCATTTCTCTCTGACAAGATAATGGGTTTTAGAAGTCCAGCTCTAAATGTACTTCCTTGCTGCCTGTGCTGACAAGCAGTCTGATGAAGCAGGCTTCATCTGGAACTTGCTGTTTGCTACTATGACTCATAGCAGAACCTCAAAGCTCACAGAAACTATCTGAGACTTCAAAGTGAAGTGATATAATTTCATAAATATGTGAAGTGAGAGGAAATGTCAAAGCTTTTTAAAAATCTGGGCCATCTACAAAACTGTTGGTCACAAGATGACAACTGTAAACTCATTCATGTTATTTTTAGGATTTGAAAAAAGCCCTGCATGAAATGACGGAACAAAGTGCACCACTCCACACCACACTATACCCTCCTCTCCTATTTTCTTAATACATGTAGGGAGCCTTTTACAGCAACATCACCAACACTTCTGCCCTGAGGTCTCACCTTGCGGACCATACTGGCCTCCCTGTGGCCCATAGTTTCCCATGGAGTTGTTCTGGGGATAGGGTCCCATCCCACTATGCATCTGGCCTCCTGAAGACTGGCGTGGAGATAAGGCAGAGCCAGGTTGTCCAGGGGACCCATATGGAGGCATCTGAGGGTTCCGCATGTAGACTGGAGAGGAATGACAGAGAGCACCATTAGATGCATACTTTATTTATAATAGTGTTGCACGATATACCGGTACTAGTATGGTACCGCGGTACTGAGGCATTTAAAATGGTACTATACTGCATTTGGATGGGACCGGTACTTGCAGCGCCGCCGGCAGCGCCCGTTATTTTTAGGATTTGAAAAAAGCCCTGCATGAAATGACGGAACAAAGTGCACCACTCCACACCACACTATACCCTCCTCTCCTATTTTCTTAATACATGTAGGGAGCCTTTTACAGCAACATCACCAACACTTCTGCCCTGAGGTCTCACCTTGCGGACCATACTGGCCTCCCTGTGGCCCATAGTTTCCCATGGAGTTGTTCTGGGGATAGGGTCCCATCCCACTATGCATCTGGCCTCCTGAAGACTGGCGTGGAGATAAGGCAGAGCCAGGTTGTCCAGGGGACCCATATGGAGGCATCTGAGGGTTCCGCATGTAGACTGGAGAGGAATGACAGAGAGCACCATTAGATGCATACTTTATTTATAAACACCTCCTGTAACAAAACAAATCTGTACCAGCTTAAACATGATTTTACCTAATGCATTAAGTAAAGAATCTAGCTCTTTACTTCCTCACAGACACACAGCAGCAGGGGGGATGCATACAGATGCAAACAATCAGACCTACAAGCTGCTTGCTTAGGATGGGCCACACATCCTTGCACTATTGGTCACTGAGCAGATGAGGGGTTTCTCTCAACTGGTTTTGATTATCTGTGTGCACACTCACCCCTGTCCTGGCCCATGTTTGACTGGTTCATTGAAGAGTGCATGATGCTGTCTGACTGGACACTGGGTGGCCGGGGAGGCATCTGATTACCTGCAGGGCAGCAACACAACCAAAGCTCAGGAACTTGAAAATGGGAACACGGGATGTTTTTGCCATTTTCTGCTTGTTCTTAAACTTCGACAATCCTGACCATCAAATGGCCACTTGCCATCAAATGAAAGCAAATGAAAGGAAAAAAAACACTTGACTTGAGAGACTATGAGAAATACCATGACATATATCCCATCCGCTGCCTGTGCCACTTGTTCTCCACAATAAGTTGTCGGTGGCATAGCAACTTGTGTTTCTCTGCCACCTGGATGGTTTACTAGCATTGTGTTCCCATCTGGCAAGTGGCTTCATGAATTACAAATATGATCCGTTGTGTTCGTGCGTGAGCAAGTTCTGGATTAAAACTAAATCTGTCTCCTGTCTGTTTGCTAGATGTTTCATAAAGCAACCAGCTCTACGCACTGAACGTGACACTGCATTATTTTGTCCAGTTAGGTTTTTGTAGCAGGTGTATATTTTACATTTAGAGGTCTTTGGCAGGTGGGTTAAAATTACTGCCTGTAGTTATTTCATAATGCATAATGTTACTCGCTTTCGCATATTTTCCTTAACATTTTGCATTTGTTCTGTGTCAGCAGGTTCTTGTCCCGTCAATAGTGCTGAAGCAGGGCATGGTTTTGGAGCACTTATTTGTCCATTGTTTTCTTTGCCATAAAGTTATATTAGTTATATTGCTGCAGTAAAGATTTTGAGTAATACATTTTGTGTTTGCATGTAGATTGAGATTCATTTGACAATTTCAGTGCTATTAAAAAAAAACTAAAAAAACTGAAAATACTGAAAGCCAAGTTGGCAACTGTTTTTTGCCGTTGAACACTGCACAAACACACACACACACATGTGTACTTCTATCTTTGTGAAGACACACAATGACATAATTCATTCCCTAGCCACTCGCCCTAACCTTAACCATCAGAACTAAAACCAAGTCTTAACCCTCGAATTGCTGTTGTGGGAAGTGGGAACTGGCCAAAATGTCATCACCTTCAAAAAATGTCCTCACTCTGTAGCAAAAACTACTTTTTTTGGTCCTGACTATGTACAAGAACACACACAAAACACTATAAAAAATGTACACTGTCCTGCTGATACTGCTGTGAAAACTACAACAAAGACATTTGTCATTACAAGGGCAAAAGGAAGACATTTTAAATTTCAGATAAACAGTATAAAACTATGTGTTAGTATTCTGTCTTTACCTGGTACAGCAGCAGGGGACAGAGGGCCAGTGCGGGAGGGGGTGACGCTGGCGGGGGAACCCACGGGTGATGGTGAGGGTCCGCGTATACCTGGTAAGTGGGGCGAAGTGTGTGGAGAGAAGGGAGACTGAGCAGGGTTGCTCTGCTCGCCCTGACTGCTAGACACCCCCGAGGTGCTGACGCCGGGGCTCAGGGCACCCTCTGTACCAGTAGGCAGGTCGTCGATAGAGCCCGACAGATCCTGGAACGAGAGGAGGAGCTCAGGGTCAGTGATAACTTTGGAACGTGAAGTTTTATCTTTTGACTCATTCTGGATAAAGAGTTATTTGATTCTCTGAGTACATAAAAAGTTTAGTGACCTCTTAAATATAAAAACTGAGGTAGTAGATTTGTACATTTAATTTCTTTTTCTTCTTTGAGTAAAACCATTTTTTTATGTCTCTCATTTATTCCCTTCACATCATCTTATGGTAATACTAATTTGAATCAAATTTGATTTTATGCACCATTTCAACAGTTTTTAAGGTAATTTGTCAATTAAATTTTTTTAGGTTTAAGCTATAAAATTACATATTTATAAGAGAAAACCATCAATTAAACAAATAATCCCCTGAACTGGGACCAATACCAGCTGACACTGGGCGAGAGGAGGGGTCCACCCTGGCCAGGTCACCAGTCTATCACACAGCTGACATGTAGACAAACAACC